TTTTTTTTTTGTCTTTTTCCTTTTTATCGGTACCGGGGATCGAACCCACGACTGCCTGCTTGCAAGGCAGGCACTTATGCCACTGAGCTAAATCCCCAGCCCCCAGGTGGTTTAACTTCTGAGTTTTCTATATAGTCTATATATTAGCCCTCTGTCTGAAAAGTAGCAGGCAAAATTTTTCCCCATCTATCAATTGTCTCTTTATTGATTGGTTCTTCTTACAGAAGATATTTAGCATGATATAATTCCATTTGTTGAGTCTTAATGGTATTTCTTGGGCAACTGAGGTTTTGTTTAGAAAATCCTTTCCTGCAGTTTTGTCCACTAGTGTTTATATATTTTATCTTCCAGCAGGTTTCTGTTTTAATGTTTAGATCTTTGATACATTTTGATTTTAATTTAGTATATGGCAAGAGATAAGGGTCGTTTCATTCTGCAGATAACCAGTTTTCACTACTCCATTTGTTCAATAGGCCATCTTTCCTCCAACATACACTTTTGTCCTCTTTATCAAAGATCATATAGCTGAATGTGTCTGAGGAAGTTTCTAAATCCTTTATTCTGTTCCATCAATCTATGCTTCTTTTTTTGTCATGTACCATGCTGTTTTTATGATTGCTTTGTACTATCATTTTAAGTCAGGTATTGCTATGCCTCCTGCTTTGCTCTTGTTGCCCAAATTGATTTTGCTATTCCAGTCTCTTTTGTCTCCACATGAATTTATAATTGTTTTCTATAGTTCTGTAAAGCTTGATGTTGGTACTGGAATTGCATTGAATCTATACAACAGTTTTGAGAGTATTTCCACTTTGATAATATTTGTTCTGCCTAACCAGGAATAGGGAATATTTTTCCATTTCTGATGTCCCCTTCAATCTCCTCTTTCAGAGTACTGAGTTTTCTTTGTAGGATTCTTTCATTTCCTTGATTAGGCTAATTCCTAGAGTTTTATTTTTCTTGAAGGTTTTGTGAATGATACTGTTTTCATAATTTCCTTCTCATCCCTTTCATTGTTAGTGTATATAAGTGCTAATTATTTTTGTATGTTGATCTTATATCTTGCTATTTTGCTGAAGTTGGTGATTAATTTTAAGGCTTTTTTCAAGACTTGCAGGAAGATGGAGTGGTGAGCACAGAGAAAAATCTCCCTGAGATTTGGTGTCCACACACTGGAATATGGCAACATGAGGAAGTGAAGGAGGGAAGTGAGTGCCCTGGGCACAGGAAGGATCTGAAGCAAGAACTGAAGCCCACAGGAGACCAAAGAAAGAAACTTCAACAAGGAAGGAAGTGGAAGGTAGTGCCTTCTCTCTGAGCCAGGACTCACTGTGTAGAAAGGGCAGTTGAAACCTGTAGACATTGGGTAACTACCAGCAACTCCAGAGGCCCTCATGGAAGCCTCACTTTTAGTTTGGTTTTATCCAGTTTTAGGGTCAGGGTGATACTGACTTCCATCAATGGATTTGGTAGCACTCAACTCCTTTCAGTCTCTCTGAAGAGCTTCAAGAATATCAGTAATACAGCCTGCTTAAAGATTATGTAGAATTTAGTAGTGAGTTCATCACGGCCTAGGCTTTCTTCATTAGTAGGCTCTTTATTATTGTGTCAGTTTCATTGCTTATCAGGCTGTTAAGCATATGTATGACTTCTTGCATTAGTTTTGGTAGTTTGTATGTGTCTAGGAATCCGTTCATTTCTTCAAAATACGCTATTAATTGTTGGTGTATACGTTTTCAAAGTAGTATGTTCTGAATTTCAAGTGTCTGCTGTTCTACCTTTTTCATTTCTAATTGCATTAGTGTCTTTTCTATTTTTCTCATGGTGAACCTGCCTAAAGGTTTATCTATTTTACTTATTCATTCAAAGAAAAAGCTCTTTGATTTGCTGACTTTTAAAAGTATTTTTAGTCTCAATTTCATTGATTTCCACTCTCATTTTAAGATTTCCCTCCTTAATTTCACTGTGGGCACATTGAGTGAAGTTGCTGTGAACTTTTGGTTCATTGCCTTTTTGAACTCATGATTTTATTCTTCCCCACTGGAAACTTTTTGGAGAGTTGTTACCTGGTAGTTGTTTTTCTTCTCTCTTTGTAACTCTTTGCTTTGCCTTGGGAGTTGGATAAATTTAGGGAGCTTCTGCAGACTTGCTTCTCAGTACATATATATCACCACGTATAATCTCAAGAGTTTGTGACTTATATGGAGATTTTGTTTTTTGGCACCAGAATCAAACTCACGACAGCACATCTGCAAGGCAGGCACTTATGTGGCTGAGCTAAATTCCCAGCCCTATATGGAGATTTTTTTATAGTACATGTTGCCTTCTCTGTGAATAATTCTCAGCTTTGAATGTCTACTGCTAGAATTTACTCTATTAATTTTCTTTAATTGATTTGGATTACTGTTTTGCCAAAAAACTGGTTATAACATCAACAAATTCAGTACAGTGACAGAAGTACAGTGATCTACTGGTGGACATTTGGAGTTCTATATTGTGGTTACCGTGAATAATCATTTTGTGCAGTTTCTATCCAGTGTCTTGGATAGATACCTAGGGTTGGTATTGCTGGGTTGTTGCAATACCACATTTGTCTTAGACCTGCTTGCCTGCTTTTCACAGTGCTTACATCAATCTATACTCCTACTAGCAACCCCAATCTTTCCACATCCCCACCGCTTGTTAGTCTGATCACCTGAATCTAGCACCACGGTGAAAAGTGATGTTTCACTATGGTTCTGACTTCATCTCCTTCACAAACTAATGCTGAGCATCTGCACATGTAGTTCCTAGTTGTTTTATCTTTAGAGAAATGTCAGGGTCTTAAGAGGTACACAGACTTTTTTTTTTTTAAACAGGGCCTCATAATACTTGAGCCATGGCTTCATCCTACTACTTCATAAATCAGAAAAATAATACATTGATTATAGATTTCATTTTTTTCGCTGGGGTTTGAACTGAGGGCTTCTTGCATCCTAGATGCTGTTTGTGAATTTCAAATCTATTTAAAATGCCCTTGTGCCCATGCAAGCTGTGCAGCTTCCAGGGAGAGAAGTCAGTGCCTCCAGAGAATCAGCCATGCTGCAACTGGGGGGACCAAAGAAGAAATCAACTAGCCAGCCTTTCTGATAAGCCACCCAAGCTGCTCCAGTTCCAAGGACAGAAGTCAGATAGTGCCTTCCATAAGCCTACCAATGCATGGGCTGAATCAAACAGTGTCCTCCAACTTCCAAGCAAACAGCTGACTGGGCCAAGCAACCTGCTGATTCTGAGGACAGGCTGAGTAGACGGCAACTAAGGTACATACAGCAACTAAATGCTTGTATTGTTTGGCTGATTATGTAGGCCTGGGTCAGTGGTTTGAGGGACTCTTGGGAGGATGGCAGGATGCAATATAGCAAATACAGACTTCCTTCTACCTTGTCTTTGAAGTCAAATATTGTTTTGCTTTGTTCTGATTGTTTTTGCTTTATTCAAATTGTTTTATTACATTTTGTTTTTGGTTTCATTTTGCCGTACCTGATGGAATGGACAACTATTGTAAAGATAACAAGTAAGATATACTATGATAGCTACTGTTGTTTTCATAGTATCTTGCTTCGAAGTTCAGTACCAATTTTGCTGCATTGTTTTGATTGACTTTGTTCTGCCTTGTTTTGTTGGATTTTACTATCTTTTAAAAAAAATAAATAAAATGCACCTGTATGTGTAAAGACATTTTATTCTTGTAATGAATCAGTGTAACAGGAGTGAGCTCTTTTATTCCACCTATCTAGCAGGTGCCCAGTGCTTCCTGTGTATCAACATGCATGCACGGGGGCTGGGGATTTAGCTCAGCGGCATAAGCACCTGCCTTGCAAACAGGCGGTCATGAGTTCGATCCCTGGTACCGATAAAAATGAAAAAGACAAAAAAAAAAAAAAAAAAAAAAAAAAAACCATGCGCGCACAAAGGCAGACAAGACTCCACTTACAGGAGAGAAATAGCAACACCAAGGTGACTGCCTAGGGCAGCAAAGTGTTCTGAAACCTCCACTAGGTGTGCTCAAATACCCTATTCCCCAACACGGTCACTCACTTTTATGTCAGAGAAAGGACATGCACCAAGAGGTGACAGGAGAGCACAAACCACCACACTGTCTTGTAAGAGGCAGAGCAAAGGGAGATGGGAGTGAAATAAGGCTTGTCACTGGGTAGAATGAAGGATCTTGATTTCCACAAGAACATGTGTTCAAGTACATCAAACAGAATTGTGAGAAAGTGAGCCAGATGAGGGGGTACATACCCATAATCCCAGGACTGCCTTTTGAGGTCAGCCTGAGATATCCATTAGTTCAAGGCTGGCCTGAACCATATAGTGTGATGCTGCATCAAAACAAAACAAAACAAAACAAAACTCTTAAGAAAGGAACAGTTCTACTCCTTAAAGGAAAGCCTCAAATAATCAGTATTTTATTGTATTGTTTTTATAACAAGAATTAGTTGAGACTTCGCATTCTGTTACAGGTTGAATGTGTTATCCTGCAATCAGCCTGTGATCTTAACAGGGTCATTGTAATTGTTGAGATGATGCTGGAGTGGGGTGGGTCCCTGATCTAATGGGACTGTTCTATTCATGAAAAGTGGAAATATAGAGACAGACAGACACGCACCCAGAAATCACTGGTGTAGACAGACGTAGAGACTGAGGTGATGGATCTACAAACAGCTAAGGATTGCCAGTGATCTCCAGCAAGTCTCAGAAGCCAGGAGTCTGGGGATAGATTTCTCTCTACAATCTCAGAAGACCCCACCAACAATTTTTCAGAATTCCTGCCCCTAGAATTGTGAAATCATGAATTTCAGTTGTTGAGGTCATTTAGTTTGTGGTCCTTTGATATGGTGACTCTGGCGAACTAAGCCAAGTATGAGAATTTAACGTCCTCATAGGACAAACACCTTGATTTCACTCCAAAAGTAAAGGCAATAAATGAATTTTGACCATCAAAATTCATAATCCACATATTTTCTTAACAATTGTGACTGTTCCATCACTGTTTATTTGCTTCAATTAAGGTATGCAACCCTTACTCAAGGACCTGCCAAGTCCCTGAGTTCCATGTAATCTTCTAAAAGCTTTACACAGCTGAAAGTATTTCCACACGAAAATGGCTCCACAGCGTTTATCTGCACAGACCATAATGCCACTGCCTCAGTATCTGTATTTTGTGGAATAGTCTTTGGGAGATACCACCAGGCCCCGTCCTTTGCGGGCACCACGATATACAGTTTCTATTATGTCAACCATCTCCTGCTTATCTTCCATGGCCCAGTTAATCTTGTTATTGTTGCCAGTGCCCAAATCAATCATGATGTGTTTGTTCCTGCAAAGAGAAAAGCACACCAATGCTCAGAGAAAGAATTCCACGAAAAAAGTCTCTGAGTATCCTGCTGACACAATTGCTGGTTAACACTGTCTTACATATGATCAAGAAGAAAACCACAGTTCAGGAGAAGATGGACACAACCCACATGCTATTCCAAAAAATTGTTATGCTAGGACCATAAACTCTTTCTGTACTTTTATGTCCTTTGGATACATATCTGATATGGTAAGCAAAGTTTCACAGACTTAGAAAGACAAGCTGTTTTCCAGACAGTAGTACAGATAGTTTTCCTGAAAAGTATGTTTTGATATACTGTTCTTACAGGCACTTGGTATAAATTTATTAAAAGGCTTACAACTGTGAAATGAAAATGACATTTTTTACTATTTTTTTTGGTTTTCATTTTTATGGGTACCGGGAATTGAACTCACGAATGCTTGCTTGCAAGGCAGGTGCTTATACCACTGAGCTAAATCCCCAGCCCTGTTACTATTTTTTTTGAGACAAGGTCTTGCTACATACTTTAAGCTGGCCTCAAACGTGAGGTTATTCTCCTTCCTCAGTCTCCAGTGTGCAGAGATTACAAGATGTGAGCCTTTTGTATCTTTATGACTATGAAGTAGATCTCCCTTTAAATATTTGCATCAAAAGGCTGAAATGCAGCAAAGGCTGCACAGAGAAAATGAAGACATGGCCACAAACTTTTGCTGAAACCCAAGAAAGTTTGTAAGTCAGTGTACTCAAGTCACAAGAGGTGAAGGCTGTGCCTCATCAACCAAACAGGAGGCACATGATACTCTAAGGCATTATTCTTCACTGGGTTTACCTTCTATACTAAAAAATGTAAGGGATAGAGAGAAGTAGGTAGAGGAGATGATGGCACCAGTGCAGGTTAAAGAAGCAAGATAACAAACTACCCACCCACAAACACTGCGCATGGAATAAGGACTTCAGTAGGCTCACTACCAGAGGGTAAAACCTGAAGCTGTGAGGATAATCTTAGGTACTGATGCCTAAGAAGTTTGCCCAGCCTCGGACAAGAGCTTCCCTGCTTTCCTTCCACTTTTGTGAGACAGTTTCACTATGTAGCTCAGGCTGGCCTTGAGCTTGTGGCCAACCTCTTGCCTCAGCCTCCAGAGTGCTGGGAGTATAGGTGTGCTAGGGACAGAGGGGCTTCACTTCACTCTGAGCTTCACAGGTCCACAGGGAAAAACGAACGGTGCTCAGGATATACATGTTCATGGTATCAATGATCTGGACAATGAGATTTAGGAATGTTGGAACTGATGCTGTCCTGTGCTGGGATCCTCAATAACTCTGGGGAGGGATGTGTTTTCCTTACAAATGGCATATGGAGCCTGGGAGCTAAAGGACAGACCAAAGTAGCCAAAATCCTAAAATGTCCCCCGAGACTCAATGAACATGATAGGCTTCCTGCCTGTGGTTGTGACATGACATCCTAAGGAAATTTTAAAGATGTGATTTAGGTTTCTAGTCCACTGACTTTAAAATAAGATTATCCTGGATCATTTAGGCAAGTCTAATCTAGTAATTCTATTTCTAAAAGCAAAAGAGAATTGGAAGATAGCCACAGAGCACTGACTGATCATGACTGTCAAGATGAGGAGTCTCTAAGAGCACAGTGGCCCCACGCTGACAGCAGCAAAGAAACAGAAACCTCAGATATACAACCAGAATGACCCCGACTCAGCCAACAGCCTGAGTAAGTCAAAGTGAACCATTCTCCATTGGCTCCAGAAAACCATTAACTCCACAAGTTTGGACTGTTAGACCCTGAGCAAATAACGCAGCTGATCCTGATAAGACATCATGTAACTACAGAACTGAGCTCATAAGTAAGTGCTGATGTACAGTACTAAATTCATACAAAATATAAAACTAATAATATACACCTATACAACCCACTGAGACCTTTCTTACCAGTATGAAGCTTGTCATGGTTTGTGTCTGGATGTCCCCACAAAGTCTCAGGCAGTCATAGGGGTGCTTTTTGGAGACTGCTAAATCTAGTTTGTGATTGATTCACAGTCCAATGCTGGGATTATGTGTATGAGTGCGACAGCTATCCTAGAGTAGGTAGCCTGCATACAATAGAAGGAACAGAAACAGTCTTCTCTTGCACTCCCCTCTTTGTTCTTGCTTTTTTGGTCTTTTGCCGCCACTAACTGTTGCCCTCTGCCATGTGATCCTGCCTTGGAGCCAGCTGAGTATAGACTGAAACTTCCACAAACAGTGAGCTAAATAAACTTTTCTTTCCCTAATTTGGGCATTTTTTCCTCAGCAACAAGAGAAAAGTAACCAACACAAACACTCATATTGCTATTTATCAACTTCTATAGAACTACAGTAAAAAATTTTGATAACAATGTCAAATGGTGACTGCATTCCAAATTAAATTTTTACAATATAATTTTTGAACTGGTAAAATGTTGTATTTATTTATAGATGAAAGCAATTAAATTCAGGTTTTCTTCTAGAGTCCTTGAAAAAGGACATTAAGGTTTTTTGTTTTTATTTTCCAGTTTTTGAGACAAGGTCTCATTATACAGTCCAGACCCTGAACTCACTTATGAAGCTCCAGGTGGGCCTTGAACTTGCAGTGATCCTCCTGCTTTAGCCTCCTGAATGCTGGATTTATAGGAGTGTGCCACCACATCCAGAACACAATAAATCATTTGTTGGAAGCCACTGAAGCTGCAGCTCACTCACTCATGACGGGGCAGGGCCTGTGTCTGGAGAACAAAGAGTGCCTGGGGCAAATCACATGAAAAAGCTGCTCCAGTCTCCAAGCTCTTAGGTGGCCTTAAGGTCAGACTGAGGCAATGGGGTGTCACACGACCTTTAAGTTGCTAGATGTATAAATAAACATGCTGCATTGGTTGAACAGTTCCATTCCTCCCATTCAGAGAGGGAAAGAGAGCTCCACCTGACCTCAACTTTTGTCTCTTTTTCTTATTTTTCTATCCTCTGCCATCTTCACCCCTTGGAACAGTTAGAGCTACAGACAGACACTACAGTGATTGATATTGTATTTTAAAAATGATTTTAAGGGGCTGGGGATTTAGCTCAGCGGCGTAAGTGCCTGCCTTTCAAGCAGGCAGTCGTGAGTTCGATCCCTGGTACCGATAAAAACGAAAAAAGACAAAAAAAAAAAAAAGATTTTAAAACATTTTTTATTAATAGAATATATTTAAACACATCTGAAATGTCAGTTAAGAATATCTTCCATTTCATTATACTTCAGTCGGGTTTCTGGGTAATTAGCTCAAAGGTTACTGAGTAAATGCTACAACTGGAATTACTATTTTGAAAATCATTTAAAAGGCACTGACTGCCTTGTGATACAAACTGTCTTGTAATATGTCTGCAAAAACTAATTTCTTTCTAAATAAAGGAATCTGCCTGGGTTACCTGAAACATCTTACCAAGAATATTCCATTTAAATAATGATTTAAGGTAACATACCTGAAAAAAAACATGACTGTACACGGATCATATAACTCATACATTTTGTTGAAGTCAGGCACTTCAGTAATATCCACGAGATAAATAACTGCAAAATTTTTAACCTAAAAGCAAAGAAGATTTTTCAGAATAAAACAGGTAAACTGGATGATTTTTTTCAAATCAAATTCCCTGTAGAGCTAACACTTAGGAAAATAATGGAACACTACCAGGATCCTGACCAACTGGCTATCTGGAACTCATTTTGACATTTCTCAGAATAGCTTAGCAACTACCTAAATTTAAGTAACAAACCAAAGGCCTGAAGAAAACAGTCACAGAGCCGCCATTTGTGCTGAAGTATGAGTGATCTGTATGATCTTTCAGAAATGTGTACCTTTACAAATACATATTACATGTATTAAACAACTGGTCTAAAGCATGCCTGCAGAATTCAGCCATCCATTTCCCCACAATTACTTAAGTTTGAACGTTTGCAAGTACTAATAGTGAACTCAGATAATACTGCACCATTTTCTATAAATTTGTTTAACTGTAAGTTTATCATGAAAGTTTAGAAAAGCAACAAAATTAAAAAAAAAAAAAAAAGAAAAGAAACAGCTAAAAAAACTACAGTGGAACCTCGGTTCATGAACTTGATTCTTTCCACAATTCTGGTTGCAATCTGAGTTACATGATAACTGAATCAAATTCAATGGTTAGGCTCAACGTGGTACTGCTATAAAATAACTCCCAATCCCATACTCAGAGGCAACTACTATTAACACTTTTGCTTATTCTGTCCCATCTTTTTTTTCTGGGTATATTTAATTAATTTAAATTAATTTATACTGTTTCACAAAATATGATCATGTAATTATTAATGATATACTTCCTATTCTTTAATATATCATTATTTCATCATTTTTGTTACTTTCTTACTGATTTTTCATGAATGTTATTCACCAGTACACACTTTCACTCTTAATTTGTAGACATATTTCATTATTTTTAAGTATGAATCAAAAAACAGAATCTCAGCCAACAGTGGCCATGTTAAAGGATCTTATAACTACTGCATCAAGGCTCTCTAAAAAGCTTACATCGACTTTACACATTATGGGTCGAGCTGTGTTCCTAATGAAAAAATAGAAAAACTCCAGTTCCCAAAACTGAGAATGTGACTTATTTAGAAAAAGAGTCACTGTAACTTAAAGTAAGATGGGGCCTTGGGGTTAGCACAGAAGCCCACCATAGGGCCATGAGCAGGCAAGGCAGGCTGAAAGTGTAGCTCGGTATTACAGCAAATTCTTATTCCCAGGGTGTGAAGCCCTGGGTTCAACCCCCAGCACCAGAAACAAAGGCATCCAGACAGGAGATTCCCAAGGGAAACTGTGTTAAGGCCACAGCTCAAATCAGACAGGACTCAAAAGTGTTTGGCTCCTGGAAAGTTCAACGGTGACCCTATGAGATGTGCAGGAGTTGTGTGGCCAGAGTGAAGTTCTGAAGAACAGAGATGTTAAGTGTGTGCAACTGTCCCATGAGGCTTGGTATGAAAAATGGCAAACAGTGCTGATGAACTTGGGAGGTGATTCAGGAGGGGCTGGAACAGGCCGGTGGTGCCCAGAAGGCTCAATCCCTCCAGCCCTCACTCCCATCTCTTCTGGGTAAAAACAAGAAATGGTATCTGTGGGTGAAAGGTGAGCTTGGCAGCAAACATCCCATTATAAGTGCTACCTCTACTTAAAGGCAACTGAAATATCTCATCTGTTTTGTAAATGTGGACACTCAAGACATCCTCACTCAGCAATTCTGAATAATTTTCACATTGTAAATACTAATACAATAGTAAGACATATCTTCCTTTTGTCAATAAGAAAACTGTGTGTCATCCAGAAGTAAACCATAACGAAATGGCACGCCACAGTACCCCTTTTGTCCCCTTTTCATTCTGTATGAATGATGTCACGTCCTTGGATCAGCTGGAAGCTGCACAAGGGGAGCTATCATGTCTACCATCTGTGCTGAGGCCTCCCCACAACTACAGTGTCTGACAAAGTACTAGGTCAGTGTTTATTGAATGAATAAACTTTAACAATACATGTATTATTTCAAAATTCAAGAAGCATATCACTATCACTGGTAATGTATCTTTGGAGAGTATCGATGTAACAGTATAAAATCTTAATTCTACAGTTCTGCCTTAAAAGGGGGTCTAACCCAGTGTATTGCTTAGGGACAGGATCCTAGCAGGAGGCTCAGTACTTCCAGTAAGGATAGTCACCTTCTACTAGTTGTATCCAGTTTGGCAGTTATGTGAGAAACTAGTAATACAATGGCAAATTTGTTCTCTTCGACCTTTAACTCCTGAGCTCCCTCAGTGTTGCCTTAGAAGAGCGCTGGTCTGTGGGGTTGCATGAACTCCGCTTTCTTCCATGTGGGCTGAAATACAGATACAGCAGTACTATTTCCGAATGTTTCAATCCATTAATGAATTCACATTTCACTAAAGCACCAGAGCATTTTTTATATAAAACTAAAATTAAACTACATGTTCACTAATTTTTCTTCAATAAAAAAAAATCTATTTTGAAAATACAAAAATGAAATGGGAAACCGCTAGTTTTTATCTACTCAGCACAGTATACTTTTATACAGGTTATAAAAACTAAAAAACACATGGCAGTCAAATAAAATTGATAGCAGTAAAAATGTTTTAAAGTTAAAAATGTAAAGGTTTTTCTAATGTAGACTCATGCTGGTCGGGAAAGCATATACAAATGCTTACCATATCATTAAATAAAACTTTGGGCAAAGATGATGGTTTTCCATCAGGCAGAGTGAATATTTTCAGTTCAAACCTTGGTTCTGCCCTTTTAAAATTTATTAGCTGGCAACAGCTGCACCAGGGAGTAGCCCTGAGGATTCCAGAAAAGAACACCTCCCAAGCTTTGTGACTGGCCAAACTACTCAATACATGGATTGTTCCCACTACCATGCTCTCCTGTCAATGGACAGTTTGGTTGCTTTCAATTTCATTACAAATTATAGTAGAGCTCTCACTGAGCTCAGAACTGCTCATACTTAGGGCGGAGCCACTCCCTCTAGAGTGGACGTTCCTAGGGCTCTTGTTATGATGTTAAACTGTTTTCCAAAAGACTCTCCATTTTATTGTTACTTGAACATTATATTGACTTCCACCCCAACTGCATCTCATCTGTGTGGCTTTCTTCTCTTCAGCCAACTCAGCAATCTGGTTTCTGTGAGACACCAAGTCTGCTTTTCACTTAAACTAAATAGCCAGTCATGGTGGCACATGTCACTTGGGAGGCTGAGGCAGGAGGACTGTTTTGAGTTCTAGACCAGCTTGGGCTACAAAGTGAACAGAAGGCCAGCCTGAATGGCATAGTGAGATCCTGTCTTGAAAAGACAAAAAATTAAAAAAATTTAAAAAAAATAAATAACTCTCACAAAACACAAGGTTAAATGGTGGCGCGTGACATCAACCAGCATTTCACATTTTTGTATGAAATTTCTCAGCCAGGGAAGAGTCCATCTAAAATTATTGGAAAAATTTTGTGCAGTTGACTAGTACTATGGATTTTTTAGTTGATGATTTTTACATTTTTAGGTGATTCATTTTAAAGCCACTCAATAACTGAATGGTAACTTTTTAAGAATTAATACAGTACTTGCTTTGATTAGTTCCACTCACAAAATCTTGCAAATTCTGTAATGTGAGAGGTACTTATATATAGTACCTTATGATTATTGAATACACTACTACTACATAATAGAAGTCTTACAGAAACATTTTTTGAGGCGGCTTAAATGTTTATTATACCAAACTAAAATCATACACCCACCTTTAGTTTGTCAACAAATATAGTACACATGTGAGCAAAAGTCTAGCAAATTAGAAAATGGAGGAAAAATTAAAGTTCCTTTTGCACACTGGCACCTCTTCATCACATTGTCTTCAGGCTAATGCCTAGGGGCTCTGGTCAGAGTTACTGGGAAAAAACTAGGTTAGTCTAAGTCCATCTCCTATGGCAGACTCTCGAAAAAGATAGTACCTTTTCATATTAGCCTCTTCCCACAACACTCCCAGGAGGCCAGCACTTTAGTAAAGATTAGTTGGCTGGCAAGTAGCAAGTATCTAGCTGAAACTCACATCCTGCCACTACTCAGTATCTCCCCTAATGCTTTCTGCAAGGCTATTTATAACCAGAGACAAAAATTCTCAGGAACAGTAAAAATATGCATTGTGTGTTTTTATGAGATTTCTCATCTGGCTGAACACTGACTCATTGTTCAACTGACTCTCTGAATTCTTAATGCTATGCTCAAGGTAAATTCCCTAATATTCTTTCAAAGTTTCATAAATATACCTCCCTTATACATAATTCTATTGAAATGTATGCTATTATGCATCGATGTCATCACTCGTGAAATTTTAAATTCTATTTGTATGGGCTTTTTAATGTACAAAAATTAAAAACACCCATTTACTCTTACTCACCATGGGATTTAGGTGTGAACCCTAACGTAGCATTGTAACAAGTCATATTACAACAAAATGGAACACCAGTTCAAAGGTACATAAAGTAATATGTATCTTTAAAACTACATAAAATCAACATCTATGCAGGACACTTTATTTATTTATTTATTTTAAGAAAGGGTCTTGCTATGTTTGGGCTGGCAGCAATCTTCCTGCCTTAGCCTCCTGTGTGCTGCAATTACACACTTAGGCCACTATACCCAGAAGAAAATTTATTTTTAAAAAATTATTTTTAAATGTTTAAAAAAGTTGTAACTATCAAATAAATTATCCCATACTTGTTCAGTTCTTCACACCTGGAAGGACTTCAGTCCTTCAGATAATACTTCAAGTATTACCTGTGAGTTTTGAGATTAATTTTCTTCATGAAGTATTCAGCTCAAAACCACCAGTATGAGGTGATGCTGGGCACTGTAGAATCTGATACAACACATTCTAGGAGAAATCATATAGTCAAATCCAGCCTGAAGTAGAACTTTTCCTCATTTTAAAACTTCTGGGATAACTGAATTAAACAGGGCTTGCAACAAGATGAGGAAGAGCCCCTGTTATCTGTCACTGCTGCAGTGGGAGATTTTTAAGAGTTATACTTTGTACTAAAAATCTGAACATTTTAAAAATTCCTGTGCCGGGAGTTTAGCTCAGTGACACAAGTACCCGACTGGCAAGTGTGAGGTTGTGAGTTCCCTGGAACCAAAAAACTAAACTAAAATAAAATACTACTTAAAACAGCTCATCTTAAAAAATTTTTAAAAAGAGCTAGGGGTAGGTGTGGTGGCTCATGCCTGTGATTCCAGTACTTGGGAGGCTGAGGCAGGAGAATCATTGCAAGTCTAAGACCAGCCTGGGCTATAAAATGAGTCCAAGGCCAGCCTAAACTGCACAGTGTGATCCTGTCTCACCCAGCAAAAGAATAAAACCCTGATCATACAACAACGCCCTACAACTGCACCTTTACTGTCAACAAACAAGCACCACAGACCATCCAGTGAACCAACAAAAAAAATTAGAAAAACTAGTTGTAACCAAATATAATTTTATTTTCTCCTAACATTTGTGTTTGAATCATTTCAAACTGCAAATCGAATGACTCACAAAGGGCAAAGGATAAAGCAAAAAAAAAAAACGAAGAAAAAAGGGGGTTTATCATGGTATTAATGTAAAAGCTCTGTACATATTCGTTTATTTATTTTTTTAAATGATAGGGGTAACTAATGACACAGGGAAATAATATGAAGTAAGTCGGTTAGAAGTAGTAGGCAGAGGATGACTTCACTTTGATAAAAAATTAAAAAGTACAAATGCATATAAAAATCTGGAAGGTCACATACCAAAATAGCAACAATGTTATTTCTGTCTAGTGGTTCTTCTTCTTTCGCTTTTGTATATTTTTTGAAACATAATTGTTTCTGAAATAAACAGTAGTGAAAAAAGTTACTTTATGCTGGGAGTTAAGAATCCAAGAAGCCAGGTGTTCAACAGTCAATCCAAAAAGGCGCAGTCAAGATAACAATGGACACGCAGAGGTGGACACTTTCCCATTTCAGTGCCATTTTATCCAACTCCTTTCTCTACACTTGATGTCCTCTGTATTCGTTTATTTATTGAGACAGGCTCTCACTGTGTAGTCCAGGCTGGCCTCGAATTTACAGCAAGTTTACTCCTTTGGTCTCCTGAGGGTTAGGATTACAGGCCTGTGACACCATGCCCACGCAATATCTGCCATTTATTTATTATTTTCATTTATTTTATTATTTTTTGTCTTTTTGAAACAAGGTCTGTAGTTTAGGCTGCCCTAGAACTCAGGATGTAGCTTAGGCTGGCCTCCGACTTTCGGTGATCCTGCTGCCTCAGCCTCTCTAGTGGTGGGATTACAGGTATGCGTCACCATGCCCAGCTTCAATTTGGCTTTTTAAACACAATAAAACAAGATACAAAAAATTCTTTCGAACTATGCTATTTAAAGTAACTACTTCCAATAAAACTGGCAAATGTGTTTTGCTCACCACAGTATAAATTTTTTAAAAAACGTTAACAATAGCAATTATTAACATTCTGAGAAAGGGAAAGTGTCAGTCTCTCAAAAAAGTGAGAACTATGGGCACTTCTACGAACAGACGAAAGTTATGACCCACAACTCCAGGGCTCACAACCTCACTTTGCCAAGGCAAAATGCCTAAGAAGCCTGTGTTTTTCTCTGGCTAGATGGGTTTACACTTCAGAACTAGGCCATTAGTAATACATTCTTAAATTTATCAGTCTTAACGCTGATTTTGGTTTCACGTTCAACAGTCTGAGCTGCCTACTAGCACCGAGTTGCGAATTGCCGCACCACAGAAAGGCCGGGCAAGCAATGAACATTACCTTTTCGGCTATGCTGTACAGCACCTCGTCCATCTTCATGCAGGTAGGGTCCCAGTCGTGTCCGAACCGAATGACCACAACCCGATCCTCCTCAGAGAGGATGGCCTGGTCTACCTGCCAGCCGTTGTGGAGGTGCGGAAGCATGTACGACATCCTGGCTCCACGCGGCTCTGCGGCAGAGCGCCGAGCGACTTGCCTAAAGGCGCGGGAAAGAACTGTGCGGCTGCGACAAGCGCCCCAGGGCTGCCCGCTCAGGGACCCTACCCCAAGGGGCCAGACGGCCACGGCCCGGCCCGCACCCCTTTTCAAGTCGCCCAGGTGCTACACGCCCGCACCGCTGCACAACAGCAGCACGTCCCGCGCAACGGAACTTCCGGCCGTACGCGCCTACGTACGCCAGGGAGACGGCACGCGCGCAGTGCGCATGCGTGCGCGCTGACGTTTCGGTGCGCGGCTGCCCCTGGTGTTCTCCGGTGTCCCGCGGCTTCCGCTTTCACGTGAGGGTTTATGGTTCTTCACCCTTCTGTGTGTTCTCCCCGTGCTTGCCGGTGTGCTACTGCTCGATGCTGCGTGCTGAGACGCAGCGGCCCCAGCGGGTTTCCCCACCGCACCCCTGGAGGTCGTGTGGCCAGAGCGGCGCGCGGCATCCGGGGCACAGAGCAGGCCACGCGCCCGGGCCGAACCGACAGGATCCCGCGTATCCCGCGCGGTCGGGTTTCAGACAACAGGCTCGGCAGCTCTCAGCAAGCACGCTCCGCGAACCTGACAGCCCCCGCATAATGTACCCCTGCTAGTTTTAAGTTTTTATTTTTATTTACATTTTTACTGTGGTAAAATCAGTGAAAAAGAACCTTTGCTTGGCCTCACTTGACTCCTGGCCCGTGCGATCTTGCGCGCCTGCGGATTAAAAAAGTTCGGTACTTAAACACATTAGCTGTGTTACATGTCCTGTGCCTGGCCCCTACTACAAGGCCAAGTTGTAGTGGACCGATGGCCATGGTCCTGCATTGTCTTTACTGTGCTTTAACAAATACAAGTATTTTTTTCTTTAACATGTATTTGTAGATACACGTACATATTATATATGTATATGTATACATATATATATATATAAAACATAGATGCTATCACTAACGATTTTGAATGTGTTAAATTTGGTGGCACTGAATACATTCATTTGTGTAACCATAACCAGTGTCCATCTCCAGATACATCTTTAAAAAAAAAAAAAAAGCTTTGTTGAGATATCTAGTAGTTCTGTTAGTTTCCTGTCACTAAGACACTATACCTAATATCCACGGCTTAGAGGACAGGTTTGTTTTAGCTCAGTTGTTTTGTTTTGTTTTTCTTTAGATCAGGAAGGGTGAAAAGATCTGAGGGTCTGACAGAGAAAAGCTGTGCTCCTCTTGAGGGTCTGTGAGCTGAGAGAGGGGAGGAACCAGGGAAGGAGGTACATCCCTCTAGACTAAGCTCACAGTGGCGTGCCACTGGCCACCAGATAGATCTCCACCTCCTAACTGCATTTTCAGTTCTGAGCTTTTCAGTTGATTAATCCACTCAGGAGTTATGTACCTCCCTTGATCCAATTACCTTCCAAAAGTGAGTCCTAAGAACACGTGTGTCTTTTGGGGGATATTCTGTATGTAAACCATAAGAAGATATAGTCCACATACTATAAAATACACTCACTCAATATGAAGTGGTTTTTCAGAGAGCTATGGAAACAATACCACAAATTAATTTTAGAAAAATTTTCATCACTCCATAAGAAAGCTTGAACTCAGCAGTAATCATTTCCCTCCCAACCTCACAGCCTATAGCAATCAATTATATTCTATCTCTATAAATTGGTTTATTTTTGACACTTCATATAATTAGAATATTTTGTAACAATTTTGGAATTTTGCCGGGCGGTAGCTCACAGCACTCCTGAGGCTGAGTCAGGAGAATCATTTCGAGTTTGAGACCAGCTTAGGCTGCAAAGCGAGCTCAAGGCCAGCCTGAACTGCACAGAGAGACCTTGTCTCAAAATGACAAAAAATTTTTTTTCTTGGAACTTAGTGATAGAGTTATTTCCAAAAGATGAAAAATATTAACAAAGGATGAGAAATATAAAATAAAAAGCGGCCTTTATTCTGAGAACACGGAGAGAGATGACCGGCACCCCACCGCTGGCGTCCAGCGATCTCTCCTGCGGACATGTGGCATGGGGGCCTGTAAATAGCCTCGGTTTGGGGTGGAACCTAAGGCGGGCATTAGGGATAAACAGGTAGGCCATTGGTCCTAGGTTTGGCGCCATATGTAAATTCCCAGGGGCGGGAAGATGGCGTCACAGGTAACTTCCTAGGGGCCGGGCAAGATGGGGCTTCCTGCTTCCGGTTGTGGCTTTCCTGGCTACAGTGTCCTGTCTGGGCCAAACCTTTTACTTAGTTTTTTTACAGTTTCTCCCCTTTCACTCCCACAGGGTGCACTGCACATTTTGGGTCCCACCAACTCCCTTAGTTTTTAGATTAGGGGGCAACTTGTTATTTACTTAAGTGGTTCTGAACCTTCTCACTCCTAGACTTGATCTCAAGTTTTATTCCTTTACATACAAAAGTCTCAAGGTTTTCCTTCGTTATAGCTGAGCAGTTCTCTACTGCACAAAAGTATCTTATCTTTCCAACCTATCTGCAGATGCTGGTCGAGTTGCCCCTATTTGTTAATCAATAGTTTCTGTCAGGAAACTTTTCCAGCTTTTGGTGGAGTTTTTAATTTCCTGGTAATCTCTTTGAATGTTTCATGTATTCTAGGTTTTCTTTATATTCTTCATCAAACATTTCTCTCCTTTTTTTGTGTGTTCTTCCATTCTTCCATCTGTGTGTTCTTCAGATGTGCTTAGCATTTCTTTTGTTAATCTTCTCATATCTTGCTTTACTTGAATTAATATTTCAGTTTTGAGCTTGTCTATGATGTCATGAAGATATCTCTTTATGTCAGCTGATGCAATGTCTGATATTGCATGTTTATTGCCCTCAGTCTCTTCTGTATTTACCTCTCCTGGATCAGTATTTGCTGGGTTGGGAGCTGAGGGCTTTTTCTTATTTCTTTCTCTTGTCATGTTTTTGGTTTCTTCTATATAGGTATATAGTGGAGGTCTCAGCCCCTTTCCTTGTTGGTTATGGTTCTTCTGAAGCATGCTGGGTAGAGATTTCTGCCCTCTCCAGTTTGCTGTTGGTCATTGAGGTCTAAGCCAGAATGGTGTATGCTGGCCCCTCCCCTCCGAGTCAGTCAACCAGCAGGGTCTTCACCATGCTAGTGTGTGCTGTGTCCAGAACCAATTGGGGACAACTTTGGGGACAGTTTCATCCCTTGCTGTTGAGTCCTGGCCAGGGACGTGACCCAGCCCAAAAAGATCCCACTAATCTGCTCTGGGCAGGGAGCAACCAACTGAAGTCACTGCTGTTCCTTGTTCATGCCCATCCTGTCCAATTCCAATATATTGGCCAGTGGTCACCCTTTTCCCATGGGAGGGTCTTAGTCCAAGCACTCACCATGGGATAGTGCAGGTCTCCATGCTGGCTCTGTTCTCCATTGGGCTCACCAACCCCCAACTTCAGCACGACTGCGGCTCCAGTGGTGAGTGTGCCACACCACAAGTCTGGGCAGCTCCTGCAAGAGCGCCTGTAGCTATGAATCTGAAGTGATTCCAATTGTAGCATGCCACGACTGTGAGTTTAACTAGCTCCTTTCCCTTTAGTTCCTTCCTGGGTCGAGAGGATCCATCTCCTTCTTTCTGGTCTTTTCTAGGATGTTTTATTCCTGCATCTGAGCTGTTTCTCTCAGGAAGGCTCTGGATTTTGCTGCTTACTGATGCGCCATCTTTAGCTGTGCCCCTATGAATAGCTATTTTCAAGGATGAAGCATGCAAAAAGTAGGTTAGAAATTTCTGATGAGCACTTAAGAATTGCAAACACTTGTATAGATCCAGTCATTGCATTACTTTCTCCGAAACAAGGTCAGATATCCCACTAGTTTATGTTGTCCTCATTGGTTTTAGTGTTACAGTAAAGTATATGTGTATGCATTATCTAGGAAAAGAAGGATTTAGTGCCTGTGTACATCAATGATATTATGTATTTTATATGTGTCCCAAGACAATTCCTTTTTTATTTTGTGCAGTCTAGGCAAAACAAGAAGTTGGATACCTATATAGTAGTCTGTAAAGATATATTTACTACTGACTTTTTTTTTGGAAGAGTTTGTGAAGTACTAATTTATTTTTAAATGTTTAATAGATGGGCTATAGAGTGCTAGATTTTATTGCTAGCACCCTTAAAATTTTGTTTAATAGAATTCATTTTTATTGCTATCATCCTTAAAATTTTAATAGAAGTCATCAGGGCTGGATTTTTTGTAAAATAAAATTATTAATAGACTATCCTAAAAATCATTTATAATAAACGTTGTAGGGCTGGGTACAGTTGTGCATACCTGTAATCCTAGCTGCTTTGCAGGCTTAGACAGGAGGATCTTGACTTCAAGACCAGCCTGGGCAATATAGTGATGTCTCAAAAAAGGAAAAGTTGCAGCTTTGGCAGGTAAGTGCTCACTTGTTGAGATGCTTAAAGCATATGGAAGACACCATTCTCTAATTACAGCTTAAAATTAGAAATTATTGTTTTTTATGTAGAAACTGATAAACATCTCTGCCATATCGATAGATGCCATCAATAAAGCTAATTAGATTTATTTGTCCAAAACCAAATTTTTCCCCCTTAGAAAAGCATCTGATCTTTCAAAAAATGTTAAATGGGCTAAATCATCCCTAAACGAGTCCAACTGTTGAGTTGCATTTTATTTTTAGATATAGAATTCATTTAAAAATGAATATAAAGGGGATGCTTCTCTGCTACCCCAACTCAAGCAAGAGGACTTTAGAAGAACTCTCACTTTGGGAGGGCCCAGTAAGGGTTAGCCCTGTCACCTATGAGCACGTTGGCTAACTGCAGAAACTTATGAGGCCAACCTTTTTAAAAGGATTTGAGTTGAGCTCTTGGGAAAACTTCAGAATCATGCAGGCATGTCCAACCTGCGGTCTGCAAGTTGGACATTCCTTGGGTTGTCTAGAGCACAAGGAGTGAAGAGAAATTGTGTTGAACCACATATAAAATATATACTACAGTTAATGTACAGTTAAAATATATACTACAGTTAATGTAAAAATGTATAATGTATGGTTCATTTTTTAACATTTTTATTATAAACATGTCAAGTCTCTGGGCCATAGGGTGGGCACATCTGTCTCTGAAAGGAGATAATGCTCACCATTACCTTACAATAAGAGAAATGCAAATCTCCAACAACAGGAAAAACAGAAACAGATGTACTTATTGATTCTATACAATGGTAAAGGTGGGTGAGTACCTTTCTATAAACAGAGAGGAGAGATGGGGAAATAATCCAGTTAAGTACTGTAGCATGTGCAAGATGCTGGGTTTGTCCCTTCTAAAAAAAAAGAATCTCACTGATAAGTTCAGAAGAAAGGTCACATAAGACTACATAAGGGATAATTCCATTATCATAAAATGCAAAAGCAAGCCAAACTACATCTCATTAGGCAAATGTGTGTGTTGGTGTGTGTGTGTGGTGTGTAGGGAAAGGAAACCCTAAATTTAAGATGGTTGCATCTGGGATAGAGAGTAACTCAGCCTCAAAGTGAAGGTCATAATGTATTTCATCTTGATACAAAACTAGGCGCTCGTTTTGTTGCTATTCTTTTAGTCTTACATATGTTATATTCTTTCATGTATATGTAATAAAGTTAAGCCAGTTTTATCAAATTCTTATTTCCTCAATACAGTACGTTAAAACAGAGCATGGGAGACTCTTGGAATTTGTGGATTCTTTGCCGGCCTGAGTTCAGTAGAGGCCTAGTAGACAGTTGGGCAAGAATAAAACTTCATATAATATTCTGGGACAGCTGGTGATAGTCATTTTTCACAATACTTGCTCAAGGATTTTTGTGTGTGTATGACTTTAAAATGGAAATAGCAACAACTATGACTTCTTCCAGTAGATTTTCCAGGCTATGCTGTTTTGAGAAAACCTATCTCCATTTATTTGTTCTTTCATTCTTTCTTTAGTTACTTAACAAACATTAGCATACATATATGTACCAGTCACCATGTCAAATGCTGAGAGCAGAGCATTAATACTAAGTTCCTTTTCTTATCATTACTGGCCACTTAGGATCATAGGCTTAGGTTCATTTGCTGCTTAGGTTCATTTGCCAGTTAACACTGACCAAATCAAAGGAGGCTGTATTTTTGGTAAAAAGAAAAATCCATTCAAAGGTAGCTCCAAAGAGAGGGACCTATTTGCCTCAAATCATCTGACTGGTTTATAGGTGGGCAGGGGTCTTTTGAGGGGAAGGGGAAAACTCTTTTGGACAGAAAACCAGGCTTCTGGCTCTTGGGGCTGACATCTGCATATCCTGTCACTTCTTTTGAGCTATAGAGAGAAGGAGATGTTGGTTATGTGCTCAGCAGAAGGAAATTTGGGAAATTGCTTACTCCTAAAAAAAAAAAAATCTAACCATTAAAGTTCCATTTTGCAATGCTGACTGCACTCTTGAAGTCTATTGTAGCCCTTGCATACCTAGTTTGGGTTTTTTTTTTTTTTTTGAGACAGCATCTTGCTATGCATTTCACCTTGTGTTTGAACTCACTATGTGGTCTAGGCTGGCCTCATACTCATGATGATCCTCTTACTTCAGCCTCTTGAATGCTAGGATTACAGGCATGTGCCCTAGTTTGGATTATTGACACAATCCTATGGGGGTAAGGGACACCATGAACATGTTTATCTGGAGGAATATACAGTACCTAGTTCAAGGAGTTCAGAAATGGCTTTGTTACAGTTGAACGGGACAGAAAATAGGCCAGGTTCTTGTGTACAAGGGAAGAATTGCTAAGTGTTCATTCACCTGGAAGTTGGTAGTAAGTAGCTGTGTTTATTGATGATTACAGGACAGTAGCAGCAGGAACAGGCAGAAAAAAAAAATGGGAAAAGGGGCGGGGGGGGGGGGAGGGACCTTGCTAACTCAGGCTTCTGGTATTTAAGGGGCCAGACACCTCCAACTCCAGGTACCTCCCATTCTCTCTCTCTCTCTAGTGTCGATTTGCTGACTTGGGTGGCCTCCCAAGCCTTAATCATGGATAATCATTAGGGTGGTATTGGGTTTATAGTTGAATAAAGGGAAGGGTGAGGCTTCCTCAACTTCCTTGTTTCTAACTGTACCAGCTTCCCCAAAGATGTGATATTTAAATTGAGACCTGCAGGATGAGACTCATCCAGAAACATCGGAGGAAAAAGCTCCAGGCAACCTGGGGACAAGACCAGGAAAAAGCACCTGGCAGCTTCAAACAACCGAAATTGTGCAAGCTGGAATGATGGGGACATTAAAGGATTTGTAACAGGTATGTAGATCAGTCAGCAGGGCCTGAGATTGTGCTCAGGCCTTGGAATTTCGTAAAAGCAGAGTGGAGCCGCTGAGTGCCGTTAAGCACAGGACTGTCATATCTGGTTTATGTATTTTTCACAATCACGGGGGGCAGAAGAGACAAAGGACTGCAGAAGAGAGTGTAAGAAGGAAGCTGAGTTTAAGGAGACTCCTGCAGCAGCACAGTGAAAAGCTCATCTTGGCTTTTGGAAATCTGTGGAAGTCTGGCCCGGAGGAAACAATTTTGAAACCATCAGAGTAGAGTGGTAACTGAAGCAGATACCTGGATGAGGCCGTTTCCTAAAGAACTTTTCTCATAGTTTTACCTTTGCCTTGTTAGTAGCTGCGAGGGGTACTGTGATAAGTCATTTTCAGGAGAAAAGCTGTTTTAAAATAGTCTGGCAAAAACCACATCTGCGGCTTAATCGGAATCCCAAGCAGAAATGTGGCCACCCCGTGTCTGCAGGCTGACCCAGGCTCGCCGCCGAGGTGGGTGCAGTGCACGACAGGAGCGTCGCCCCTTTGCCCGCTCTTTTCCCTGGGCCTCTCCGCGGCCCCATTGCTGTGCAGAGCAGAGGCCGGGCGGGCACTGTCCGCATTCCACCCGGGCCCCACGCCGTCCATAGGACCCTTACGCAGGTCCCGGGAACTCTCCGCCCGGGAGGATCTGCTCTTCCAGGCCCTGCTCCGCCAGCAGGCCTCACCTGCTACCCTGCAGGCCCAGCCTCCTGGGCGGCCAGGAGGCTGGGCAAGGCCCGTGGGTGGGGGCACCATGGGCGGGGCCAGCCTGAGAACCTGGGAACCCAGCTTCTCGGTTGGGTTTTGTTTTGTTGACCGCGGTTGCTACAAGTTTGTAGCTTGGTCTCGAACTCGCAGTACATCTGCCTTAGACCTGAAAGCAGCTGTATTGTGGACGTGAGACCGCGTTCCTGTGAGCTGAGCTTCTGAAGGTCAGCGGGCCCTGTGACTTCGTGGGTGGCAGCAGCGTGGGATGTCGCCTGGCCTGGGTGGACTGGGGTGGGACTCCCACGTGAAGTCGAAGGTATCTTCAAGAAGTGAGCCGTTGCAGAGCACCAGGGCGCACGCCTGTGGTCCCCACTATTTGGAAGACTTAACTAAACAGTTTTTAGAACTAACAACAGCTACAGTTCTTGAAATCCTCAAGCCAGGGAAGAAGCAGGGCAGAACAATCTGCAAGTACAACCCCAAGTTACTTAAGTGTGCCATTATTGGTTACAGCAATCACAGAACACAAATACACCTGATGTTACAGGGCTTGAGGGGAAAGCACAAGAGGATGTGGGCTTCAGTTCAGTGGTATAGTGTTTGTTGAGCGCATTCAAGGTCCTGAATTCAACGTTCGGTGCCAGAAGGAATAAAAAGCTTCTATCGGTACAGTCGTTTTTACTAAGAGAGTCTTGGAGCTATCACAGGCTGAGCTTTAGACCTTTTTAGTCCTCTACATGAATCCCATTGTTATTTTGTTAGTTCCTTTTCTTTTTTAAGCACTTTTTTCATTAGTCATCCTGGCACTAGTTTTTAGGAAGGTAATGTTTGTTTTTGTGACACATGCAGTGATTATACGGACATAAAATTATGCTGAATTTGTTGACACCTGTGGTTTGAGATACCTCATGCCCCAGAGTGTGCTCCTCAGTAACCCTGAGCCAGAGCACAAAACAGAACGATCCTCGAGCCCTGCAAGTTCCCACATCAGGGCACATGATGATTAGAGCGCTTGCATCAAATGCAGGTTTATCCTCAGAGATACAAGCAAAGTGGAAGGGACCAACCATGGTATAATCCATAGTGTAGTTCACCTAGGTAAAAAAGTGAGTAAAATATTTTTTAAAAATTAAAGAATTGCCCCTAAAGAGTTCCTCTAAAGTTCTGTAGGAAATCTGTCTTTCAAGGTGCCCACTACCAATAAGAAATCTGACTTTCCATCCCAGGAATTGTTCTGTCCTTAATATCATCAAACCTGCTCTGTTGAGACCATACTTGTTCCTAAAATATACAGTTATTTCCTACCATGTGTTATTCCTACAAGGTCCTAAATAATTAATGTCATTTAGAAAAAAAATGCCTAGAAAAAACTAAATGATTTTCAGAAAGCTACTTTAGCTGGACCTATAGAAAGCATGACAGAGGGGCCAGGGGTTTAACTCAGTGGCATAAGCACCTGCCTGGCAAGTGCGAGGTCCTTAGTTCAATCCCCAGTAGCCTGAGACAAGGTTAAGTGATGCCTTTACAGTCCCTGAGGAAAGGCAAGGAGGACAGCTACATCTTCAGGTGGGTGCAGGAAGGCTTCCACACCTGGAAGACAGATAGGTAAATGTTACTTGTTGGCTGGATATAATGCCTCCTCCACCCTCCAAATCCTGTAGCTGAGGCAGACCTCTGAAACAAAATGCAGATCAACAAGATAAAAAAAATTATTAACACATGCAATCATGCAGAAGATGGAAAGTAAGACAAAGAGAGCACTGACTTAGACCCTAGTTTGTGTATCATTTTTAATCACCTTTTTTTTTTTTTTTTTTTTTGGTGGTGGTGGTATTGGGATTGAACTCAGAGCTAGGTTTGAACTTGTAATCTTCCTCCTTCAGCCTCCCAGAGTGCTGGGATTACAGGTGTGTTCTAGTACCCCTGGCTTCATTGTGGTTTTTATGGCAATCCTCAATAGTTAATGCTATTATACATCTTTTCATGTGATTATGGCCATTAGTGTCTCTTCTTTGGAGAAATGTCTGTTCAGTTTTCTTGTCCACATTTAAATTGGGTTAATTATTTGTTACTCAGTGGTAAGGTCCTTTGTATATTGGAATAGGCACTTTAGGCATATACCCATTGAACCTTTTTGTGAATGTCATGGGTGGTTGAGTGTGGAATGGCAGTGGAGACTTGAACAGCTGTATATTTGCATTAAAACAGGCTTCTTTAAAAAAAAAAAAACAGGCTTCTTCCATGTGACCCTCCACTTACCTTTAAAAGATGATGCACATGTGACTTGTTAACTCATATTACAACTCTGAATACTGCTTTAAATATTCCTAGGGCAGGGATGTGTTGTGCACTAGCTAAAAGAGCATCGTCATCCTGTTCTGTGCTTGCAATTACCCTAGTTATTTACCCTAATTACCCTGTAACTCCCTTTGCAGACAAAGCTGTTTTCCGAGGCTGACCACCCTGGAGCACTGACCACACTGTTGTAAATTAACCACTATACTGTTCTGTATGCATCGTCACCCCGGGTAACCTGTTCCCCCTTTGTAAAGTGTTGGGCGCAGGCGCTCAACATACCATACCCCACCCGGGACTAAGGACCACGCCAGCTTCCGCAATGCGCTATGTCCCTCTTTAAATTAGCCAACCCGTGCGCACCCCGCGCTCCACTCCGTACTCTGTGGCAACTCCTGATTGGCCACAGCTGGATATGGTAGCCCGAGCCTGCATCCCATTCCCACCCTGCTTCCTTGTGGCAGCCTGTGATTGGTCATGGCCAAATATATAAACCAGAGCCCGCGTAAATAAACTAGCAGTTAACTGTCGTCCACAAAAGCGTCTCCTGTCTCCTGTTTCATTGGAGCTGCGCCGGTCAGTAAGGGACAGATGTTGTCTGAAATTAGATGGCCACAAGCTGCCCACACCCTGTCTTAACCCTTGTTCCCATAACAAAAAGCAAATATTCCTGAAATTAGTTGACCAAGAGCTGTAAATTCCTGTAAAGAAGGAACCAGCTGACTACCTACTGTGAAATTTACCGTAAAAACCCTGTCCTCAAGCAAAGGGGAACAAAGGTCTTTCTCATTTTATCCCCCCTCCCATCTTTTGCAGTTTTCTCCTATAGCCTGACAAAATTTTAACCTGGTTACACAACTTTGCAAACTCCAACAGCACTGTGTTGGTGGTACCAGCTTAAATAAAGTGCTCCTTTTTCTTTTATAAGAGGTCTCACCCTGTTTTTTGGACAACATGTTTGGGTCTCATTTTTGGGGTACAGCAGGATGAAGTATGCTTTGTCTTCTAGTTGAATGTGTGTTAAAGGCTGAAGAGACCAACTTGGGAGGTTTATGCTCTGTGGGAAGCCCTGTAATTGGCTGCCACCTTAACATCTTCAGGCTACACCACCTTAATGCCCTTTAGGAGTTAGGTTTGGTAATTAAGCAGCATCTTGCATAACTTGTTTAGCCTGTCCCTTTATTCAGGGACTATGCATATTGAGCCCGCTTTCGGGAGATTCAAACTGACCTATGAATCTCCGTCTTGCCACTGTTGCTAAGTTACCTGCTGATGTCTCAGCACCCAAAATCCCTCCTCCCAATATCCTATATATTTGCTACTCCTTCCATGAATAAATGAGACTTGATTGGAATCCTTCATCTTGTCTCCCCTCTTTGTATCTCTTGTTCCCTTTTTCATCCCCACTCCCCCTCTAGGGTCTCCGTGGATTTACCCATGGGCTGGGTCAATGTTCTGCCTCCTGAATGTGGCTGGTAAGTGTGGTCTTGGTGACAAAAAAGGCACTTTAAAGTCTTTTAAAGAGAATGTTAGGAAACAGTATTACCATATGACCAGCCACCTTACCTTTACTAATGGGAATTCTCCTCACTCTGTTTCTGCAGAATCTGGGCCTTTGATTGTGGGAGCAGAGAACAAATGTGTTTGATCTTGGGAGAACAGAGGGTTACTGGAAGGTGAGAAAAGAAAAGAATTTGAAAGGTGTTGTATAAGAAAAGACAAGAGGGCATGGACAGAAGAGAGCACAGCTAGTTGGTGCTGATTTGAAGCAAGTTTTGGGAAAGTGAGGTGAGGTACCCTTCTGTCAAATACTAAGAGAAAAAAAGACATAGGGAAATAGGCTTTTAAATGTTGCTTCATGGATGGATTCGTCATGTTACGTCTCTGTGATTTTCTTAAGAGACTTGGGAAAATATCTCAATTGTGTTCACATTTAAGCATTAGTAGCTGTCACTGTTTGAAAGCATAGGGCTCTGTACTAACAAACAGCATAACCACAGTGCAAGGCAGCTTTGTTCTCTGCTTCTCAAGTATAAGAAAAGTGAGTCTTTGGGAGAAGCAGTTGGTTTAACCTGGATCCATGTCTGATTCTTCTCTTCTCCTCAGGCTCAGTCCTTCTATCATTCTCCCCCCTCAACCTGTCTTCAGTATTTCTGACTCCAAAACTAAGTAGTGTTTTCATTGACTTCACTTAGTTTTTATGTTTCTTGCTTTTTAGTTGATAAAACTATATTCCTTACTTCCCCCCTCCCTTCTAGTGTTCACTCAGTTCTTTGTACTTTCCCAGGTGCTCCCTTGCCTTGAATTAGATGCCCCTGTCTCAGTTACTTTCTTGTTGCTGGGACAAAATACCCAACACTGAAAAACTGAAGAATGAGAGGTTTATTTTGGTTTTCAGTTTGTAGAGGTGTTGACTGGTTCCAAGGCAGGGTGGCATGGCAGATGGGCATGGCAGAAAAGAAACAGATCAAGGTCTGATGGCAAGGAAGCAAAAAACAATTAAGGGAGGAGGGAAAAAGATGACTCTTCAAGGCCATGTACTAGTGACCCATTTTCTCTAAGCATCACTTCCCAAATCACATTTAATTATAAGCTCATCAGTGAACTAATCCATTGATGAAGTATCAGATATCCATGATCCAGTCATTTACCAAAAGTTCTACCTATGACCTGTGAACACATGAAGTGTTGGGGGGATATATATATATATATATATATATACCATAACATTCCCTCCTAAAAGATGATGATGCCTAATAGTGCTGAAGTTGGGGTACTTGGATGTGCAGATCCGTGAATGGTCCATACCTTCTCTTGTTTGGTTGAGAATCCCTCCAAGAATACTACTATGTTTGACTTTTCTTTGAAAGAAGCTATTGGAAGTTCTTTCTGTTTTGGTTTTCTCTCTGAGTTCAATTTTACCCAGGTTTTAAATGAAGAAACTTCCCAGTCTAGAGCTATTCATTTGTTGAAGGCAATGTCAACAAGGGTAATTTTCTTAAAAGTTAAACAATTGTCTTACAAAAAAAAGCTAATTTTTATTTTGTTTTAACAATTTATATTGATCAGCCTGAGGAAAGGAACATGGGAGTCATAAAATGTAAATATCGGAATTGTTACTCTGTTGGGCAGAAGCAAAGCTTTAAAAATTCTGATTTCTTCAAATTTTGATTTTTTTAAAATGTATGTTTATCCTCTGACCTTAGAAAAATCAGAAGCTCAATTGAGTGTTTCTTTGGTGTCAGGGCACATGAATTGGCAGTGGCCTATTGTCCAGTGCTGGACACCTGGTAGGGGCATGATGCAGACGTTGGAGAAGGGAAGGAAATACATTGCACGGTCCCTGGCACTGTGAAGGGAGAGAATTCGGAAGGCTGACTATACCTAGATGACCCATGAGCTCTTCACAAATAGACCTCACGGGTCTGATCCTATCCCAGGTTCCTTTGCTGGACTGTTGCCTGTGATTGAGACTTTGGTTGAGACTTTGGTCTGGTGCTTGTTCCAGGGAGCTGTGAAGCAGGAGCAGACTGAAGCAGGATGAGTACCCAGCAGCCTGTGTAGTCTCCCCCTGCTTCATATCTTCATTTCCCCTAAGGTCTAGACTCTATTTTTTCTTTCTTTTTTCCTTCTCTTTTCTTTTGTTTTCTGTCTTTCCAGGGTCTCACTAATTTTCCCATGCTATCCTCAAACTTGTGATTCTCCTGCCTCAACCTCTTGAGTAGCTGGAGTTATAGCTATGGCCCACTGTATGCAGTCTGACTCCTTTTTAACAATTGAAGAATCCCAACCTTCCCCAGTGTAGGTGCTGACAATAGCAGTATAGTGGATACATAGTAACACGGGTACTGACAATGACAATGTGGTTTATGCAGTGTCACATACAGTGACAGTATCAGTACTGGGTGCAGTAGTACCCTGTAACAAGTGTTGGTGGAAAGTCAAAGATGCAGAGGTCATGGATTAAGCTAGCTCTCTATAAAATTAACTGTTTTTATCTTGTACAAAGCTATTTTAATCTTTTACTCAAAGTTGAAAAATAAACACAAGATTGTTTATATTTTAATCAGTTATAATCTAAACTTTGAACAGATTTTGAATGTTCTTTGGCTTTATTTTTGATGCCAAGTTCCAGGGACATAAAGTAAAAACACATTTTCTAACTTGAGTACTTGTAAAGGATTAAATTTTTATTCCAAAAGAAGAGTGGAAATGTTTTTAAAATCTCTATTTTAAGTAGAAACAAAAAACATAAAACTATAATTCATGTGGTACATAATAAAAATTTTTAATTTTCACAGTAAAAAATGAACAGTTTTATTATTAATTCCTGTGAAGGAGTAAAAATGTCCTGCCCCAAAACATGCTGCTCCAGAATATTTTCCATTTTGCATTAAAGGTACTTAAAAGCATAACAGGTACAAAAAATTCTTGACCATTATTCAGTTCTTAAAAGCAGGAGATAAAATTTCTGTGTAAGAGATGACGTCCCTATAGAATAACATTCTTTATTTTTATTTTAAAGAGACAAAACAATAAAACCAAAACAAAGTAGTTTAAGAGATACAGCCCTAAAAACATTACAAAATCAACAATAGTTACCATAATGCCTTTTGATGTCTTCAAAATAGTTGCAGATAACTTTGGACATAGTAAAAGTCAAACGGAACAGAATAAAATAGAAACAACAAAAACAAGACAATGAATACAATAAAGAGCTTCAAAACAAGCCAATAGTAAATCCAAAATTGCTACCATAATATTTCTTGCTATCTTTGAAATAGCTGCTCCTGCCATCAGATTTGACATAATCAAACAAAAGAGAATAAAACGCAACCCAACGAAACAATGGAAACAATATAAGACTTCCAAAACAAGACCACAGGGAATTAGCAATGGCTGTAACCCTCAGAAGATCTCCCCTAGATGTGACATTGTATACCACTATCCTCTGAACCCATGATCAGACCACTGGCCCTAGACCTGCAATGTTAGTGAAACACCAAAGCACCATAGTTATCCAATTGCATTTCATCTTGATAGCTCTCATCACAGCCTGTGTTTCTCCAGATAAACTGGTCACTTATGGCAGGGGTGAGGTAGGGGTGGGGGTGGTGCTATTTTTTGTTTGCCAGCCTGAGTTCCAAAAGGGGTTGGGTCTGGCTGTTCCAGTCTGGCGGGGGTCTGCTCAGGGTGCTGATTTCCAGACTGGGTTTGCTCACTGATATATCCTTTGTTCTCCCTACCTCTGGTCTTCAAATGGCCTAGAATAACATTCTTATCACCAAGGAAAGAAATCTGTACAGACAATCCTTGTTAAATTCACCTTTCTCTTCCCAGCTACTACTCTGCCAATAAACTACCTTGATCCAAGCCTTTGACCTTGTCCTATCTTGTTACTTGCCACTCTGTCCATTTCATCGTGTGTGTTGACTCTTAACTGCTTCTGTGGGACTTCATTTCCTTATGAGAGTTTCATGCTGCATGAGACTTGGAGTTAAAAGTTTGTTTTTTCCTGCTAATTTGTCTTAATTTTATTTTTGGCCCAGATGGGAGACTGAGGTAGTTTTGCCTCTCCCACATGTATAAATTATCCTAAATCTTAATGACTGAAAGCAACAAACATTTCTCTTCTGATGGTTCCTTTGTTTAAAAATCCAGGAAAGGCTAACCCAAGTGGTCCTGGTTCAGGGTCTCTCATGAGACTACAGTCAGCCAAGTCTGCCATCATCTCCAGGCTTCTCAGCTGCTGGCAGGATCTTCCCACTTGTGTGAGTTTTGCACAGAATGCCCTTGGAGCATAGTTGCAGGCTTGCCACAGGAAGAGAAATACAGAGACAGAAACAGAAAGAAAAGAAAGACAGTAAGCAAGATAACTCAAACCATCTCCTTATACTAAGGGAGTAGTAGTGAGCTGCATCGTCTCTGGGTCAGCAAGTTCATCCACACTCTGACATGGAGTGCACAGGCACGCCAGACAGAAGTTTGTCTCAGAAGCTACCTCCAAGGTCAAGTCAAATGCAGGAAAAACAACCAGACACAATAGAGTGGCAAGAGGAAGCACTGGTAGTCAGGGCTCTGGGCCTGTTGCCTTTCGGGATTCATAGGAATTTATCCAGGAAACAGATGAATTCTAATCTTGTGACTTAGGTGGTCTTTGAAGAGTATGTGTCACTGACTTGGACTCTTGCTTGACTACTGGTATCATATCCATCTGCAGGCTTCAGGAGACCCGGCACTACATTGAATTCTGATGTCAGGATTTGAAGGACCACATGGCATATATGAGGATCATGTTGGTTGCCTGCAGAAGCACTTCACTGTCATTACCATGAAAGAATTTTTGGAAAATAAAATTCAATCTAAAGATTCAAGATTATCTGTCCGTCTGTCTATCTATCTATCTATCTATCTATCTATCTATCTATCTATCTATGGGGTGGGAGAACAGTTATTAACTGGGAGCTGCTTCCCCTCCTTGAAGCTCACTGCCAGCTGAGGAGTAGACTTAGATCATCTGGACCATCTATTCATCACCAACTGTGTGTGAAAGGGACCAGCACACCATATGCAGTGTCCAGCCCATAGCCAAATTGGTATGGTCCTGCTGCTCACCTCAGCTCAAAGGGCTGTGGAAGGTAAAATGACATGGTTGGTTTTTCTGAAGACTCAAATGATAGTTAATAACATATATTCAAATAATTTCAAAATATGTAAGTGGTCTCCAACATTGTGTCTTTTTCTGGTTCTAATTTCTTCACATGGCATATAGGTGCATTTCACTGGGAATTGGACCTCCCCCATCTCAGGCACATGAAGGCTCCTAGAATACCCACGCCTGCAACTGAGAGCAAACACAGAAGTTCTCTCTGAAAGTAGTAGCTTTCTCCACCACCAAATTTTACTAAAACACATAACAAGGTCAAATGTATACAAAATAGGGCTGTTTTCGGAACACTTTCAGGTCAGTGCAGACAAGTGGTAGCAGATCCATTCTAACTCTGGGAGGCACCATGGAAAGCCCTTCCTGAGGAGCACTGGCATGAGGAGGTTGGAGAAAAGCAAGAAAAGGCTTTTCCTATTTCTGGCTACTGATCAACACACACACAACCCCCAGAGGCAACAGATTCTATTGAGAAATTCTTAATGTGAGATGAGCTGCTGTTTCACAGCATTCTCAAGGTTCAACTTATCCTTTGAGGAAACTACCACTTATTCTTGCTGCCCATTCCTAGAAGCAAATATCCACTTCTACATCTCACCTTCTCTACCTTATGTTCTGTCAAAAGGTCCTTTCCTTTCCTTTTGGTTGTGGTGCCATTTCCACCGCTTACTTCACACTTTCCATATTTTAGGTTATCAGTTGGCTGTTTTACCAGACATCATGAACTTTTTGATAAACTGGATGGGGTAAGAAGTGTCAGGGGCCATTGTGGGTATTGTTGGCATGGGCACCATTGGCTATAAGATTGCTCAAAGGGCCAAAACATTCAAAATGAAGATTCTGTGTTATAATAGGAACTGTAGGTGAAGCGAGGAAACGACTTGAGGATAGCTTAGCAGAGCTCAGGGAACCCCTGACAGCAGTATGGCCAGTGTGTTGTCCTGTACACACATATGCTTTCCTCACTTGTTCTCTCCAAGAAGGAAAGCTGACGGTTGAGGAAGCATTGGAGTATTCTGTAACAATCCCTGGAAATGCAGCCTGACTTCTCATGATGAAAGTTTCACAAGGAAATTCACCAGAATTTCATTAGAAATTCGTATATAATACGAATTCCTTTCCATTTCCAACTTGACTTTTTTTTATCACAGGAGATGCCACTGAGTAGCAATTGGTACTTCTTCCCAGTTTCTGAAGCCTTGACTTCCAGGGATTTCCCACAACTGCAAGGGTGTATATGCTGCCCTTCCATGCCACCCTAACTTTGTCTGAGTCTCAATGTACTTGTCCATATCTTACAAGATCATCACAATCCAGGTCAAAAGCTAATTCTGCACTTTTATCCCTAAACTCGTGTCACCTGACTCAATTTGTGTTTCCCATTTCTATCAATGGCCCTCATTCATCATCCCTCTGGAATTCTCACCCCTCCCATGATCCAGCATGTCCTAATAACCCTGCTCTGAAACACTGTCACTTCACTCACCATCCTGCCTCAGACTGAGCTTGTCCTTCCCTAAGCTGCACAATACCCTATTCAGGGATGGTTCATGCCCACACTTGATCCCTCCAACTTGCTCTTTGGATCAGACAGCTTATGCTTGCAACCTTAGTAGCTCCTGTGACACCTGGAATAAATGGTTCCTGATAGCCTTTTTGAGAACCCACATGACACAGTTACCTTTGCTCCCTCGGGAAACCTAGACATCTTTGTTTCAGTCTTGCGATGTCTCACTACCTTATATGAAGACAGTATTTTTAAGTCCATGAAATGAAATCCTTTATACTCTATATTTCCTGTATTGTCAATTAAATTGAAAAATAGTATTCTAAATATTAAAACTCATATAATTACTTATCCTTCTTTACTAACTCATTAACAAGATCCCTGGTAGAGGTCAAATAAGTACCAAAAAAATAATAGTTGGTACAAATAATACTTTAAATTACTGTTCAGTGTAGTGTGATATGAAATGATCTGTGCTGTCCATCAGAGACAAAGACATAGGAAATATCACTGCACATACAGAATAGCATATGCTACATTTCAACTAAGGTTAGTGGAGTATGATTATTTTCTTGCTGAAGTTCATGTATCCCCTATGCACCAGCCCAATGGGTTTGCTGTCTGTTTGCCACTTTGCTTATCTTGACTTGCTATTTCCAGGTGGTTCCACCCCTGATGCGTGGTTTACCAGGTATATTCCTAGCAATGGCTTGCCTGACTCACAAGCTTCCTTCTACCTGGAATGCCCTCACCTGAACTCTTCTCAAGGGAGGTTAGCGCTACCCTTTTTCCCTTGGCATCTTGCTTGCTTGTGCTGTCTCTCTCCACCTCTCTCTCTCCCTCCCTCCCTTTGCCTTGTAAATGTGGTTCCTCACAGAACTCTTGTTTACTTGTCTGTCTTCTGGTGGGCAACAGCTCTAGAGACAGCTGTCTTTACATTTTCACCACTGTGCATGGTACCAAGCACAGGGCTGACAGCCAGGGCAGTTGCTCTACCAACACTCATTAAATAAACAAATCGATTTGTGGCCTTAGAGGAAATTTGGAAGTATGTCCTTATTTTTTGTAACTGATATTTGTGGTGGCATGGTAAGCTAGAAGATTCTGTAGAATATTCTCTCTAACTTTTTAAAGTACTATGTAATGGCCAGTGGAGAAACAGCAGTTTCAGCTTTCAGTGCAATAAGATAAAGACACGGATGCCAGGACCAAGTGAGCAGTGCAGGCAGGTCATTGAAGGGAAATTGAAGTGAGCTGGACATCTGTCTCCCCTTAAAATCCATCTAGCCAAAGATGTATTAGAAAAGAATTCAGACTTTTGTGTTCTGTATTTGGAAGGTGGTACTCCTAGAGTTTAGGATTTCAGTTGAATAAATAAGCTAAGTAATCAGCAGAAGTTAGGATTTAATACAAAACAAAACAAAAATAAACACGATTCTGTCTGCACGGACACTTTGATCCTTGCTTCTGTACAACCAATAGCACTCCAAAGCTTTTCCCTCCCTTCTTTACTTCTCTTTTGTCTCTTCTCCCCTTCCCTGCAGTCTGACAGTTTGTGAACCTCTGGCCTCCCCAAAAGAACATCTAGGTATCATGGGGACTAGCACAGACACTGAATGAAAGGCAAAAGAGAGAAAACTTTGGTCTTAGGGGTCTCTAGTCTGGTGATCCTGCAGATGGCGAGGGAAAGTATCCACAAATGAGCCAGCACTTTCAAGGATTCCAAGGGCTAGATGGTGCTATCTGGACTCTGGGCCCCTCCTAGATCCAGTCGGGGGGGGGGGGGCTGGTCCAGTGGGAACAGTCCCGATCTCCCCAGAGACTCATCACTGAAAGTGTTCACCGGAAGCATCCACCCACCCAAGGAAGGCAGCCTATCACAGTCTCACTCTTTGTTTTTGTGCAGCGCATATTTATGTTTTCCGCTTTTCTAAAACTGCTGTAAAATTCATTTTCGACCTGATACCTAAACACATACGAAGCACACGTTATCAGTGGGCACTGTTTACATAGAGGTACACAGAGCTCTTCTCACGTGGTTGAAACCTTCCACAACCCTGTTTTTCAGCAGTGGGTGGTACCTGTCATCGTTTTTGTAGCCTTGCGTTTTGTGGGAGCCGGGGCGGGGCATTACCGCTCTCAGCCTTGGAGGCTACGATCCAGATGGGACCGCCCTCGCCCCGCCCACGCCCGCTCCCCAGGCCAATGAGGGACCCATCAGGGTCTCAGCCCCGCCCCAACCGCCCAGCCCACATGTCATCATACTCCGCCCACACGCCATATTTGCCCCGCCCACACATCCCGTGGTGCCCCGCGGGGGCCTGTGCTCCTGCGGCCTCTGCTCCATGTGGGCCGCGGCCAGAGGGCTGTGGGCCTCCGGCGCAGGGCCGCGCGTGCTGTGGGGAAACGGCGATGGCGCGAGCCTTTTGGGTCCCTTGCGGGGCCTGCGGAGCTCCGCGGCCTCCTGTGGCAGCAAGAACTTGCTCAAGAAATTTGCCTCCAAAACCAGGTATGCGCCGGCCGATTGTGTGGGGCCAGGCCCTCCTGAGGGGCGGGCGAGTGTGCGGATCACCCACGCCCCTACGCTGAGTTGCCTTCCTTCACCCCCTCCTTCTTTTCTCTCGTACGTTTATTTTTGGTCTCCTAAAATCTCGTATTACACCAGGAAAGAGTATGGGGGAAAAAAGTGAGATGATATACTGTGTGTCTGTCTTCATTCTAGTAACTAGAAACTTTTTCTGGAGAGCAATTTCTTCAAAGGGGAAAAGAAGCAGCTTAAGGATTTTCTTTCTGTGTTAATGCCGACTTTCTGTGTGACAATTTGATGAATAAAGTTTGTCGTCAGTTTTGTAATCATAAAACTTAAGTATTTCGATTATTACACCATTTTAAATTCTATATATGGGAGATTTTTATTACTGTTGTTTTTATAAATTTTTAAAAATGTTTTTAGGTTTACAGAAAATTTGTAAAGGTACACCAAGTTCCTTGTTAGGGGCCTCTGGTTTCCTTCTATTAGTGCCTTAAATGAGCATCCCACATCTGTCAGTTAATGGACGGGTATTGAGCCGGTCATGGTGGTGCACGCCTGTAATTGCAGCACTCTTGTGGGGGAGGCTGAAGGATCACCATGAGTTCGAGGCCAGGCTGGGCTACATAGTTCAAGACCAGCCTGAGTTACAGAGCAAAGCCCTGTCAAAAAATAAAAAAAAGAGCTGATGTTGATAGATCATCATTAACTGAAGCACAATGATCTGCATTTCCTTAGTCCTTTTCCTAATGTCCTTTTCCTGCCCAGGAACCCATCCAGGAACTACATCACATTTGGTTACCTTGTCTTCTCAGGCTCCCCTAGCCTGATGATAGTGCACACTTTCCCTTTTTTTGGTGTTGATAGTTTTGAACAGTGTTGGCTGAGTATTTTGTAGGATGCCCTCTCAGAGTTTGTCTGATGCTTTCCATAACTGTATGCGAGTTATAGAGTTTTTTTTTTTTTTTTGAAGGAAGCCTGCAGAGGTAAAGCACCATTTTTATCATGTCACGGGTCTATATGGTATACAGTGTTATTACTGTTGAGGTTGCCATTGATCACCTGGTTGGGATGAATTTAGTAGGTGTGTCCGTTGTACAGTGACTGTTTTGCCATTTTATCTGTGCATGTGCCATTTGCTACGGTCTTTTGGGCTCTCTCAGTTGTGTGTGTGTGTATGTGTATAGTAGTAGTTGTAGTAGTAGTAGTATTTGGGGTTGAACTAGGGTCTTTGCAAGGAGCTACATCCCTACCCTACCCTTTTTTAATTTTTTTATTTTAGGATAGAATCTCACTAGGTCACTAAGTTACTGAAGATGGACTTGAACTTGCAGTCCCCCTGCTTCAGAGTGCAGGGATTACAGACTTCCATTGCCATGCCCAACTCATTTTTCATCCTTTCTGTAGTTTTCTCTAGGAGGAAGTCCCTACTATAGGCCCTGCTAAGGACTGGAGAGTTATATTCATCAGTTATTTAGAATTTTGTGTGGAGATGCACTTCTTCTCTCCTACTTTGTAATTCACAATATAGACTCATGGAATCCAGTATTACTCTATCTTGCTCATTTTAGGCCATTGGGAGCCCCCTCAGCTCTTCTGTCCCAGTGACATACCTCATTATGTGAGTTTTTATCTTTTTGAGTCAGGTTCTCACTATGCAGTTCAGGCTGGCCTTGGGTTCACTTTGTAGTCCAGACTGTTCTCAAACTTGCAAACAGTTCTCCTGCCTCAGCCTCCCAAGTGCTGGGATTACAGGATTAGTAGGGTTTTGCTGTGTGTTTAGCACTTTATTTTCTGGCACTGTAAGATACTTGAGATTCATCTTATATACTCCTGCCTCAATCTTATAAACAGCCATTTCTGCTGGCAGCCTGGTTATTGGAAAGCAGTGTTGTGAAACCATGGTTTGGGTGTCAGGTGTCATTACTCCTGCTATCTGTCTATTGGGTCTTCTAATCTGAAAACACAAAAAATAGATGTTTTGAGCATTCTTTGTATATACGCTCACCTATAATAAACATTTTTGTATGTGAGCATTTGTTCCAGTTTATTGTATTACCACATGAATCATTTAGCCTCTTTGCCTTGCTTACCTGTAACTCCCTCTCCAGCAGTAAAAACTATGGCTGTTCTTGTCAACTACCTATTTGTTTGGTCACAGCGCATGTGTTTAGAACTGTCAATCTGTACCTCCATGGGAAAGCTCTAGGTCAGCTAGGCATTGTGCTTGTGTGCCACTCAGGAGATAGAATTTTTGTTTGTTGTCTTTTGTTTTTGATACTGGGGTTTGACCTCAGGGCTTTCACACTGAAATACAACCCTGCCCCCCCCCCCCTTTTTTTGGTCTTTTTCCTTTTTATCGGTACCAGGGATCGAACTCACGACTGCCTGCTTGCAAGGCAGGCGCTTATGCCTCTGAGCTAAATCCCCAGCCCCCCCTGACCCCCTTTTTAATTTTTAGACAGTGTCTTGCTGAGTTTCCCATTTCTTAGGTCTCTATTAGTATGCTTTCTGTTTCAAGGTTAGCACTCTCCATATAATTGTGCTGTCATAACTTCTTACAGTAGTTTATTTAACTCCTTCTTCTTTGTCATGTGTTCCAACATACTTTTTGTTTTTTCCACATAGAAAGAAGTTTTGGTATGCAGGACCTTCCCTGGGGTCTCACTTGGTAAGCATTGAGCAGCATCAGTAGCCTTTATAGGGATAGTGGGAGCATAGTTTAAAAGTTTGCAAAACTTTTTTGCCTGACTGTCTACTTCTGTTCTGAAAGTAACTGTCTGTGTGGATGGAAATAGATGCCATTTGAACTGTGGAATTTGGCCGTTTATGAGGTGACTGGAATTCTGAAATTTTCTATAATGTCTATCAAATTCTATTACTTTAACATCTACTCAGTTTTTAGTGTGTGTATGTACTGTAGAACTTTATCTGATAAATGGTTCATTTAAAAAATTGTGTTTTTTAGAAGTACTGAACCATACATTTTAACAGGGTGAATTTTCTGGTATGTAAATTATATCTCAAAAATTAATTTTTGGAAGAAAACCAAAAGGCTAAACTGGCAGTACTTCCAGTTTTGGAGGACTGGTAGGTAAAATCTAGAAGGATCCAGCAGTCTGGCCTTGTAAGACAGACTTTACAGTTCTAAAGTGATGTTATCTATTTAGTTTTTATTTGAGTCTTCATCAGTGGTAATGGTAAGTCTATGGAATATAAATCAGTGGCAGTTATTAATGCTGCCCTTGTTTTGTGTTGCTGTTCCTCTCAATGGAGACTTACAAGCCATCCAAGTTAGAATCCCTCCTGAAGGCTACTTCAAAGAAGAGCAGGAAGGAAGACCATGTGCGCCTGAGAGCCTTAAATGGTCTCCTCTACAAAGCCCTGACAGATTTGCTGTCCACCCCAGAAGTGAGCCAGGAGGTGTACGACTTGAATGTGGAGCTCTCCAAGGTAGCGTGCGGGGCCAAAAGGGTAGAGATGGAACTTTTTCCTGACTGCCTGAGTCTTAACTCGTGGTCTGAGAATATCAGTCTTATTTGACTTCTCACTTCTGCGGCCTTGGTTTGGGGCAGCAGAGCTGGTACTGAGTCTGATCATTTAAATCCTTGGGACAGAGTTTACCTGTGCTGTGGTCCAAAGGCAACTTGTTTACCTGCATCTTGATGACCAAATATGTCATGGCTTATTGTCAGTTACCCAGGCAGTGTGAGTAAATGGTCCAAGGATGCTCTGAAATCTAGACATATCTGCTATTATTTTGGTATAAAGACAAAGAGCCTGTAATTCTAGTGTGAGGCAAGAGGATCAGACGTTTGAGCCCAGCCTGGGCAACTTAGCATGCCTCTGTCTTAAACTAAAAAGGACCTAGAATGTATCTTAGTGCAAAGTTTCTGGGTTCAATCTCAAATACTATAAAAACAAAAGAGAATTCTCTAGCCATCTCAGAGGGAATTGAGGCAAAAGGACAATAAAGACCTATTGGTTGTTTTCAGTAAGCATTTCAGCAAATGACTGTGAAGCAAGTGCTGTGGGTTTGGGCAGCGGTTATACAAGTGGTGTCAGGACCTGGAGAAAATGGGAAGATGAGTTTTATTTCTGTGGCCCTGCTTCCCAGCTGTTGGTTTTCTGCAGCAGCAGGTGGTGGAATCTGTCAGGGTGCCATGGGAACAGTGGGTTTCAGGGTAAGAGAGAGAGACTATAAATGAAGCTATAGTTTTCCATTTGAGAATGTTGTCTATGTTAAAACCCTTGTGAATTAAATAACTTGGTGGCTTGTGGGCCTCAGGTCTCTCTGACTTCAGACTTCTCAGCCTGCCGCGTATACTGGAAGACAAGTCTCTCTGCTGACCAGAATAAGCACACGGAGGCTGTTCTGCAGAGGAGTGCTGGATACATGAGGTGATGGCATTTGCTTTCTACATGAATTTGCTGCTTCTTTGTACCTCAAATTGCCTCAGATTGCTCAGATTTTACTTATAGGTAGACATTAAACTTTTCTCATTAAAGATTTTGTGTTTAAAGGAATTTGGGGGAACATTTCCTTGAATTTCAAAGCATAATTTGCATTTTCCTGCGAGATACAATTTGGTAAACTTTTCATAAAGTTTAATAGGGATTTCAAGATCCCATCAGAGGCTTTATAAGGTTAAAACTATTTTTGCCAACCAGGCATAGTGCCTGTCACTTGTAATCCCAGCTACTCAGGAGGCTGAAATGGGAGGATTATAAATTTGCGATCAGCCCTACCAACTTAGCAAGACCCTGTCTGAAAATTTAAAAAATGAGTATCTAGAATGTAGCTCAGTGATAGAGCACTTGCCTACATGCATGAGCCCTGGATTTAGTCTCCAATGTAGTAAAAATCTAAAAGAAAAAATAAATATATATATTAATTTTAAGTGGGGGAATAGCTCAGTGATGGAGAGCCACTCCGTATTACAAAAAACAAAACAGAACAAAAACACAACTCACTACTTTTGCAACAGTAGGATACCTTTCTCATTGTTGCCAAAGTTGAGACTTTATTGGTGCTATTGCCAGTGCTTATCCTGAAATATAATACTACTTTCACCTGAAAGCATCCAAAAAAATAACCAAAAAAAATTTTTTTTACTAAATCAAGACCAAGTGTGTGTTTGTAGCATTCTTTGTGGTGGGAAGCACTCAGAATCATGGCTGCTGAGGCACAAAAGCCTCTGCGGTGAGAATATTGCACAGGATGTACAGCGCACCTGCAGCCCTTGAGGTGTGAGTGTCTGACAGACATTCTCAAAAATGAGCCAAGTGAACCTGCCACGACCAGGTAATAGAATGTAAACTTTCAAGTAAGTAAGCATCAGAATTGTAGAAACTGTTATCCAACACTATATGTTCCAAATTCTTGAAGATTGTTTTGATGACATTGGTGACTCTTAACAAATAAATGTTATGTGACAAACTGGTAATATTCTGAAAATCCATATTGTTGACCCTTGATCAACAGTGAAGAAGTACAAGGTCACAAAACTGTGCATAAGTAGAAGATCAATTAATGTGTAGAGAGTGGTGTGTTTTCATGCTGTGGTATGTGATGTTTCAGTAGGTGTGAACTCAGGTTCCACACAGCGACTAACCTTTGAATTTTTTGGGTTTTGTCTGTGTGTGTGGTCAAAGAATATCCACACTTTTCTGAGAGTTACGTACATTTTTATACTGAGACCTGAACCCAGGGCCCATTCATGCAAATACTCTGCCACTGATTTACATCTTTAGTCCTTTTTATGTTTGAATTTTGAGACATGGGCTCCCTGAATTGTCCATGTTTGCCTTGAACTTACAGTCTTCTTGCCTTAGCCTCTTGATAACTGATTACAGATGTGCGTCATGCTCCCAACCTTCTCAAAGAATGCAGAGCAGTGATGAGACCCCATTATTCTCCCACCAAGCAGGTCTTAGGAAGTATGCAACCAACACTACTATTCTCGGTATACTTTTTGAATATACAGTTATTTTTCATTAAAAATCTGTGTCGACATTTAGTGGGTTTATTACTATTTAAATTGATATACCTAGATTTTTCAGTTTTAATTTCTAGCATAATAAATATCATTAGATATAGCCACACAGACAAAAACTCTTTAGGATTCTAGTAATATTTTAGTGCATTACTTGGGGATTGAACCTGAGACCAAAATTTTGAAAATAATTTATCTAGGCAGTAGTAAAGAACGTTAACTCACTTTTCTTGTCAGTCTTTAAAAACTGCAGAATTCCAGCTGACCAAGTGGTGCTCAGGCCTCCTCCCTACTTTTTTCTCCTTTGCTGTTCTTGCCTCCTCCTTTACTGTCTTGTACACTTACACCTTTTAGACAGTGCTGACAGTCAGAGGCACTTGTGGGACTATCCAAACAGAAACTCTAGCACTTTCCTGTACTATCTTGAGTGCTCTATATTATTGTCACTGACACTGACTGTAGTGATCCCTAAAGCCTCTAAAACTATCAAAGCTTTGTCAGTTTAATCTTTTACTATTTAACAAAAACAAGAAAATGAGAAATTTTCAAGAACCTTTGAAAAAGCATAATTGTTTTATGATTTTTAGGTAATCAGGACATTTGGTTGAGCTAAATGTTTCATTTCCTAGCTTTTGTGGTCATCCAAGATTAGGCATTGAGGTTTCTTCTTGCTGAGCCCCAGATCCCTGTGGGTGACTTTTAGCGGGTGTATGTGCCACATGTAGCTTTGCCTCATGTATCACATGATTGTGAATAGTGCAAAGATCCTTCCCAGTGTCTGGGGATCTGAGTGTGCAAGTTGTGCTGGAAGAACTCTGAACATGCAAACCCTGGAACACACAGAGCTGCAGGTGACACCTCATGTTCAGATGAGGTTATTTATAATGATCTCTGTTGCTTTGGAGAATTAAAAGCAGTTGCAGTTATGATGCTTTTTGTGTGCTTTTAGAACATAGCAAATAAATGAAGTAGGTTTGTGTCTTTTTTTTTATCTTCCTATTTTCTTTCTTTTTGTTTGAGATGGATCTCACTATGTTGCTTAACCTGGTTGGGCCTTGAACTCCTAGGCTCACATGATCTCCCACCTCAGCTTCTTAAGTGTTGGGATTATAGGTATAGGCCACTGCGCTCATCTCATTTTTACCAAAGTAATAGATGAACAAATCCCCCTTCTAGCCTTGGGAGATTGTCACGTATTTTGCATTCAGCACTATGCCCTGTCTGCTAAATGTCAAGGTACAATCTATGAATCACGTAGTCTCTCTTCTCAGGCACCTTTTGATGGCCCAGCAGACACTCAGAAATGTGCCACCAATAGTGTTTGTTCAAGACAGAAGAAACGCACTTCTGGCTGAGGTGAGTCTTTTAAAATAACTTTTTAAAAAAATAATACAAACATATATAGGTAAAATTTAAAACTGGTTTTTAAATGCTCAAAGGTCATGCACCTTTTAGCAAGAAATATTCTGAAGGGTACAGCTCTGTTCTCATTCAAGGCCCAAAGGTGTTTCTTCTGCTTTTAAATCTGTATGCCCATTACTGTAACTGACGGTTAAGTGAAATGGCTGTCTCTTGTGCATGCAGTCAGAGCAGCCAAAGTTGCTTTCGCACACTTGCCCTGATCATCACCTCTTCTAGCCTCTGTGATCTTTTTGTTATCTCACACCACTGAACCTGTAAGATTCAAATTCTGCCTCATGAATGTTTTTACAGCCATTTTCCTTGCTTTGCAGGTTGGTTACTTACACAGTTTAAAAACCTGTGCATACATACATGTTTTATGTGGGTAATAGTTACCTGGTAGTTATTTATTTATTTATTTTTTAATTTAAGGAGAAAAAGGGTACAAGTTATACAGAATTTCAGAAAAAATAAACAGTAGGAAATCACTAGTTAATAGATTACATATTGTTATCTTAGAAATAGTTGTTCAGGTTACAAAATTAAAGCATATAAAGTGGACTTTCAAACAGTGAGACTGGAAACAGTTTTGTTCAATGATCCAACAAAACTCAGTAATATGATTATCTATCTTATACACCTAAATATATATGCAGTTATATTCTTTAGAGCACTTTCTTTTTCTTTCTTTTGTACAATGACAATTGCACATTTTGGGTTTTATTAATCCCACAGTTCTTATTACTTTTTTTTGAAGAGAGTAAAACCAAATGTGACATAACAGCACAGAGTCAGTCAAATCAAAATGATGGACATAATAGATAGTGTAAAAACAAAATACTAGGTGATCAACAATGGTTACCATACTGCCTCTTGCTATCTTTTTTTTTTTTTTTTAAATTTTATTTAAGGAGAAAAGAAAAAAAAAGCAGGGAAAGGGTACAAGTTATACAGATTTACAGAAAAAAAATGAACAGTAGGAAATCACTAGTTAATGGATTACATATTGTCATCTTAGAAATAATTGTTCAAGTCACAAAATTGAAGCTTGTAAAGTGGACATTCCATCAACGATACTGCAAACAGTTCTGTTCATTGATCCAATAAAACTCTGTGATATCATTTTCTATCTTATACACTTAAATATACATGCAGTTATATAGTTTGGAGCACTTTCTTTTCCTCTCTTTTGTACCAGGACTGTTACACATTTTGGGTTTCATTGCTCCCACGGTTCTTATTACTTTTTTGGAAGAGAGTAAAACCAAATGTGACATAACAGAACAGAATCGGTCAAGTCAAAAGGGTGGACATAATAGATAATGTAAAAACATAATACAAGGTGATCAACAATGGTTATCATAATGCCTCCCGCTATCTCTAATAGAATTGCCTATATCGTTAGTTATGATACAATTGAACAAAACAGTAAAGAATAAAACCGACAAAACCAAAACATTGGAGACATTGTAGGTCTTCAAAAGTAGATAAAAGTCAACAAGAATGGGCGTCATAATGAATCTCATTATCTTCACAGCTGATGCCTAAACTTTCGAACCTGATACTATCCAGCAAAACAGAATAGGGGAACATCAGTTAAAAACCAGATGGTGAGAGTAATACAGGGCTTTAAATCAAGGTAATGAAAAGTCAAAGTGGGTTACTATAATATATCCTGCTATTTTTTTCCTTTGATTAAAAGGATAAAGATGAAAAAGTAAATAATGGAGTAGAGATTGAGATAAAAGAGGGCATAACAACGAAACAGCGCAGATCAAAACATAACCATTTAAGCAGAATAGTGTTTCACCACCAGATAATCCTAACCTAAAAGTAGTTACCATATTGTCTCTTTCTTTGAAATCCTTGAGTACAACTTCGTATACTGTAGCACTAAGTATATCAAAACAATGTAAAACCATTCAAGAGAATGACAGCATTACAGAGTATTTAGAATCAACTAACAGAAAATGAACAATGGTTTCTGTATAATCTCCTTGTCTTTAAAAGGTTTTTGCTTATACTATCATACATAATAAAATCCAATAAGATACAGCCTATTTAGACCATTGGAGACAGAAGGACAAAAGCTAGATGAGACTTCAAAACAAGATGATACTAAATCAGTATTACCTATTAAGATGTCATTTTCTCCAAAATAGCTGTTCCTATCATCCAATCTTCTCTGCCTCATTTCTGTTGAGCTCTTTTTCTGTCAGTAGCTGTCAGTTTGTCTTCTTCATTTTGTTCTCTGCTCCATTCGTTGTGGCCTCTCTGCCATTATTTCTGGATTCTTTGTATTTTTCTTTTTTTAGAATATCCTGCAATACTCTCTGTAGAGTTGAATTGGTGGTTGCAAATTCCCCCAGTTCCTCTTTATCCTGGAAGCACCTTGTTTTTCCATCAATTTCCAGGGACAGTTGTGCAGGATATCTCAATCTTGGCTGGAGATTATTATCTTTCAAAGCTTGAATTATTTCCCCCCACGCTCTTCGTGATTTGATGGTTTGTGCAGAGAAATCTGCTATAATTCTGATGGGTGTTCCCTTGTAAGTGGTCTGTTTCTTGTCTCTGGCAGCTTTTAATATTCTGTTCTTGTATTGAATTTCTGGAATTTTTATTATTATATGCCTGGGTGTTGCTCTGTTTGGGTTGTAGGTAGCTGTCCTGTATGCCTCATACATCTGAGTATCTTTACCTTTTGCTAAATTAGGAAAATTCTCCTGGATTATTTCTGTGAGTAGCTTTTGTAGTTCACTTGTTTGTGTCCCTACTTCTTCTTTTATGTTCTTAATCCTTAAGTTATGGATCCTCTTATCATCTTCTTGTCTTTGTATTATTGCTGTTTGTTTCTTTGTTATTTTTAAGAAGTTTTTCATTTCATTCTCCCATATTACAAGTCTGCCCTCCAGTTCAGATAGTCTGTCCTTAGTTTCTTTCAAGCTGTTATGCCAGTCTTCGATAGACTTCTTAGTATCTTGGTAGTCCCTTTGAACCTGCTTCACGTATTCTATGCTTTCTCTGTTTTCTCCATCAAACAATTCTCCCCTTTTTTTCTGTTCTTCCATTCCACCACCTGTTTTTTCTTGGGTGGTACTTAGCATTTCTCTCACTATTCTGCATACTTGTAGCTTCAGGTCGTTGATAACTTCATTCCTGAATTGGTCTATGAGGCTCTCTATATGGCGCCTTATGTGTATTGGTGCGGTGTCTGCTATTGCCTGATTCTCAGAATTGGGGGCCGAGGAGCCTTTCTTGTTGCTGCCTCTTCCCATGCTGCCTCTTCTTCTCTGTTCCTTATATATGCAAGCTTATATAGGAGGCCCAGCTTCTCTCCCAGTCAGCCACAGCCTGATCGAATTGCGCCAGTTAGGTGTTCCTGCTCACCGCTGTGCACCAGGGAGTTACGGACCAGGCAGCCTACGCATCTCCCCTCCCGGCCACCGTCAGGCTCTGGGATCTGGGTTGGGACAGCCTATCAGGTCCACCGGCAGCGTCACGCAGGCCAGGCACTTTTCACCAATCCCGCCCGAGAGGGGGATGTGTGGCTGGAGTCACCACCGCGCCCTGCTCCCGCAGGACTGCTCGGGTCCAGAAAGTCCTCTGCTGGAGTCATACTGTGGTAGAGTGTCAGTTTCTCTCATTCACCTCACCACAAGTCAGTGCACGCCTCACTGCCGTTCGCAGATTGCTGTTCTCAGAGCTTTTGCGCGTCTCTCTCCTTGCCGAGCCACTGTAGAGGCAGCCAGCCGCCGCGCGGCGGGAAACCCAAATCGCGGCTTACAATGGCGCGGGGTCCAGCCACCACCCCGAGGCTTTTCTGTTCCTGTTTTAGTGCCAGGACTGCATTCCAAGTTGGTTTCTCTCAGCCCAGTTTGTTCCTGAGTCAGCAGAGCATATCTCCACCTGCTTATGTCTCCTTAGTCCGCACCATTCCTGGCTTCTGAGCCAAGTCTTTCAGAGAGCCTCCGGTAGTTGCTGTTGTCTGTCCGCCATGTTCTCCCAGAAGTCCGCCTCTTGCTATCTTAAAAAGAATTGCCTATATCATCAGTTATAATAAAATTGAACAAAATAGTAAAGAATAAAACCAAAACATTGGAGACATTACAGGACTTTAAAAGAAGATAATAGTTAACCGGAATGAGCATCATAATGAATCTTATTGTCTTCACAGTTGTTGCCTATACTTTCGAACTTGGTACTATCAAACAAAGCAGAATAGAGGAAAATCAGTCAAAGCAAGATGGTGAGGGCTATACAGGGTTTCAGATCAAGTTAATAGGAAATCAAAGTGGGTTACTATCCTGCTATTTTTTATTTTCCCCTTAATTGAAAAGATAAAAATAAAAAGTAAATAATTTAAAAAAGGAGATTGCGATAAAAGAGGGCATAATAACAAAACAGCGCAGGTCAAAGCATAACCATTTAAGCAAAATAGTGTTTCACCACAAGATATCCTGACATAAAAGTAGTTACCATAGTGTCTCTTTCCTTGAAATCTTTGAGTATAACTTCGTATACTGTAGCACCAAACATATCAAGACAATGTAAAACCATTCAAGAGAATGACAGTATTACAAGATATTTAGAACCAACTATCAGAAAATGAACAATGGTTTCTGTATAATCTCCTTGTTTATAAAAGTTTTTGCTTATATTATCACATATAATAAAATCCAATAAGATAGAACCTGTTAAGATCGATGGAGACAGAAGAATAAAAGCTTGATGGTACTTAAAGCAAGATGATACGAAATCAGCACTAGCTATTATGACGTCTTGTTTTCTCCAAAATAACTGTTCCTACCATCCAATATTCTCTGCCTCATTTCTGTTGAGCTCTTTTTCTGTCATTTGTTGTCAGTTTGTCTTCTTCATTTTGCTTTCTGCTCCATACATTGTGGCCTCTCTGCCACTGTTTCTGAAGTCTTGGTATTTTTAAAAATATCCTGCAG